AAGACAACCAGGTACGTTCTCGGTCTCTGATACCGGATGCGATGACTGAGGACCTCCAGGGTTGTGTTCTTCTCAATCCTGTGGCCTGGAAACAGCCAGAATGGGTCATCTTAACGATGAGTCCTGACCACTCGGCCATACATCCGCATTGTGACAGAAGTCCGCCCAGAATGGGTTACTGGACTACGCCACCAACTATTTCGACCTATCTTCGTTCCCCGACAGCGAAACCAAAACGAGCCTGCTCAAGGTTCTCAATAAGCGTCTCAACAAAGTCCGCGATGGCGATACTCGAGAGACAAAGAAACGCAAAAGAACTAGATTAGATTAGACTGGCCATCACATCGATGCTATTCGAGTCATTCGGTTACGTAATCTTATTGCGCCCATCCAACTTGAGTATTCCGTCCATGGCTCCAAAGCTCGCTGCAGGCAAAGAAAAGCTCATCGACGAAGAGACGAGGTCTGCTTGCCGCATACACATGTATTCGTTTCGCCGACGCACAGTCTGCATCGATATAACAGGTCCTACAAGCGGTGATACTTGCCGACAGTTTTGACAAGCGTTTTCGGCCTCTAACGACGCGTACTCCTCGTGTACGCATATAATCCAGCTTCTCCCGATGTCATTTCACGCGGGAGGATAGTGTCTGCTGCCGATCTGCAACGCACCGCTTCTCGATTGGACTTTCGAAAGTCTTGCACTAGCCGGCGTACAAGAGATCTTCGTCATCTGTCGGTCCCATGCTGAGCAGGTCAAGGCGCTATCAGGTGCGCTGTGTCTGGATCCTGTCCGGGACCCGTCCCAGCTGATAGATGCGGGCAGGGACTCGAAATGGTCGCGTCCAGGTTCGGGGATCAAGATCGTGCCCATTATGACTGCGAAGGAGACGTTCTCAGCCGGAGACGCCATGCGCGATGTATACACCCGCGGACTGGTGACGAGCGATTTTGTCCTGGTCATGGGCGACCTTGTGAGCAATATCCGGATCGACGAGGTGGTTCGCGTGCACAAGGAGCGGCGGAAGACGAACAAGGACGCGATTATGACTATGGTCGTGAAGGAGAGCGGGGTTTCACATCGGACGAGGTGAATTGTGTGTTCTGCGTGTAATGCAGCGCTGATCTAGTGCAAACTGACAGAACGACCGGCGACTCGTCCGTATTCGTGCTCGACGCCCATACGTCTGAGTGTCTGCACTACCAACCGGTCGATGCCCATCCTGCGACTAGATTCGCGACGATACCCCGAGAGGTTCTGGAGTCTCATCCAGAGATCGAGCTGCGTAATGACCTCATAGATTGCTCGATCGACATATGTTCCGTGGAGGTTCGTCATGGTGGTCTCGATGGAACTTACCGAGCACTCAGCTTCGTTCTCAGGTTCCATCTCTATTCCAAGACAATTTCGACTACGAAGATATCAGACGCGATTTCGTGCATGGGGTTCTCACGTCCGATCTTCTTATGAAGAACATCTACTGCTATGTGGCTGAAGACGGATATGCTGCCCGGGTCAAAGACACCAAAAGCTATGATGCCATCAGGTACTGCGATCTGCGAGACTCCTTCACACGAGACGATACTCACGATACTCAGCAAAGATATTCTTTCGCGATGGACCTTCCCTCTGGTACCGGACGATAATCACCCCGGCGGGCACGTGTACCAACACAGCCGAGGCAACAAATATTTTCCCGCAGACAACTCCGTGACGCTCGCACGGTAGGAACGGGCAATTCATCCTATGCTCTCTTACCATCATCTTCTTCAGATCATCCAAAATCGGTAACAATACGCTTATTGGCGCGGCGACCAGAGTCCACGACAATGTGGAAATCACAGGCTCTGTAATCGGTCGCAACTGTGTGATTGGCGCTGGCTCAGTGATCGAGGGCGCATACATCTTCGACGGGACAGTCATCGGAGCCAATTGTTACATCAAGCGTAGTATCGTCGGAGCGGGTGTGACGATCAAGGATAAAACGCGCATCGAAAAGGGGTGTCTGGTCGGCGACGGCGTTGTCGTTGGGCCACTAGCAAGCCTCGACTCTTTCGAGCGATTGTCAAAAAGGCGCGAGCAGGGCGAAACCTATGCCAGTGACGATGAGGACTCTGACTTGGAAGATGTCGAAAACAGTAAGCGGGATCGGTGTCTTTTGAAGTGCTCAAATATTGAATCTCACAGATCAGGATGCCGAAATCGTTGCTGCATTGGGAAAGGACTCGAATGCTCTCGTATGGCCTGAAGGCCCGGGAGAAGAGGACGACGAGGACGACGAGCTGCGGCTGCCTGGAAGAACCAGAGGACGAGGCGATTGGGCGATGACGGCTCGGAGCTGGAGTATTCCGACGACGGATCGGACGACGACGACGACAGCTCGGATGAATCTGACTCTGATGAAGAGCTGAACTATTCTGGGTCTGAGATCGAGGTTGAGGTTCCTGGGGCTTCAAATCTCATGCAAGACAAGGAGTTCACGATGGAAGTCAACCAATCACTGGAGCGGGCGTTCGCAGAGGGACACTCTGTCGACAATGCCGCCGTCGAGCTGAAGACACTGCGTATGGCGAGTAATGTCCCGCTCTCGAGAGTTCGCGAGGCCGTCATAGCTGCCATTGTGGAAGCCATCCCTGTCGTCGAAGGCGCTGCTGCCCAACGAAGAGAGATCTCCCGTGTCATCTCCCGGTGGGGACCGCTTATCAACAAGATTGGTGGCATAGATGCCGTAGAGGCCATCGGCGCGTTGCAAGTATGTGCTTTCACTGGACCGTTCTCATTTCAGATATTAATCACGGACAGGGTCATTGCTCTACTTCGACGCGGCTACCGATGTTTGGTCATATCTTGGCTGACTTGTACCAAATCGATGTCGTGGACGAAGACCACATCCTAGCATGGCATGCCCTGGTCACATCCAAAGGTCTCGACTCTGAACCGAATGCCGAGAACGTGAAGCGATGCTGGATCGCTGGGGGACATCTTCTCAAGCAACTGCAAGAGCAAGAGAGCGACGAAGAGGACGAAGACGGGGAAGACAAGGAAGAGGACGAAGGCAAAGCATCTATCAGCAGTGCTAAAGAAGGGTCTGGCAGCAGCGAGGATGAATCTTCGAGCGCCGCAGAAGGAAGCGAGAGTGGCGAAGAAGAGAGTGAGAGTGGAGAGGAGGGAAGCAGCGATTCCGAAGAAGGCAGCGGTGACGAAGAAAGTGACGAAGAAAGCAGCCATGTCGCAGCAACACCTCCAGCGTCAGCGCCAGCGCTAACGCCAAAAGCAGATGCGCAGGGAACATCTGTCCAGATCTCTGGCGAAAGCAAAAACATCGAGGAGAGCAAAACCAGCGGACCAAGTAAAATCCCCGGCGAAAATGAAACCACAACAGCAAGTAAGAGCGCCGGTGAGAGTAAACCCGCTGGAATCAATGCAGAGAGCACTAGTGGTGAGGAAGATGGCGAAGAGGATACCAGCGACAGTGAAGGAGAGAGTGGCAGTAGTGAAAACGAGAGCGGCAGCGGCGAAGACAAGAGTGGTAGCGGCGAGGAGGAAAGCAGTAGCGGTGAAGATTCTGGGGAAGATGGCGCTGAAGCCCACCCAGTCGTCAAAAAGCCCTAGACACATAATATGAATACAGTTTACTGATGGATCCAGGCCTCCGGCCACTGAGGTATATGTCGCTCCGGAGAGTGCAACTAGGACCCAGATTGACTAATTCCCCCTCTGCGCTATCGAGTAGAAGCGGAGCATGAGTGCTTAGACGCTTCGGATAAAGGATAAAGTCGGGCGAAGTCCGTGAAATTCTCGAAAAAGAGATAGGGCAAAGCGCTCGATCTCAAGCGCAAACGTACCCGCAGTGTCGAAACCAGATATGGATAGCGGGTACTCAAAACAGACCAGAAAAGCACCTCAAGCCGTCTCAGATGATAAAACACAGCTAGTTTGCGAGAGGAAAAGCCCCTGATCGGCCCCGAAATGGAGTCGATCTGTCAAAGGCGGTGGAGGGACCTCAACGCAAGTGACTGGGGGCCTGTGTGTCCCATGCGCAACACGCGGTCGGTGTTTCAATACTTGAGGATGATGTGATCGCCGCAGAATCATATGGTACCCGGTCTATGAAAATCAGCTTGCCTAGGCATGCCTCCGACCCAGTAACACCGAGGGGTCTGACGTATGGGTTGCGCATGGGTACTTGGTATCCCATAAGCGCCCAGACGATGGGCATAAGCAGATTTGCGCCAGACCCTGGGATAGCGTGAGATGCATCACGCGAATGAAATGCGCGAAAGCACTGCAATTGGCGGATTGGCGAATTCGAGAGGCGTTCGAGAATCACGCACGCAAGGGTTGGAAGCAGGAGCGCAAGAAGGACCTTGCAGACGTCCGAGGATGCGAGAGCCCAGAAACGCGCTAAAGTCGGCCAGGGACAAGAGGACCCTACCGCAGTGAAGCTTGTGTTGAGAATCGGTTCAGAAAGTCGAGCTAAGCGAGACACTTTTGGTCATTTCACGTTATGTATGTGTGCCGGGCCGGTGATCGCGCCATCTGAGCGCATGGGTGTTGCCGGATAATTTCCACTGGACCGGGTCTGCATTCATTCTGCAGAGGGCACGAGGTCCCAGCGTGCGGTGATATGCAGTCTGGAGCAGACCAAGTGTGAGAGTCATGCTGCTGCGGGGGCTTTGAGGAGTTGACGTTGAGACGTGAGGCAGGGATGACGCACTTGTGACAGGCTGTGCCTTGCTGTGCCCATGACGCAAGTGCCGATCCGCGCTCCACATGATTACTATAAGAGACTATAAGAGTGCGCAGTCTGGCCATTTCCAGCATCTGACGACCCTCACGTCTACAACATCCCACTAACATGGTGCGTCCACATCCGTGTCCCTGCCTGGGCAAGAACTGACCCCGAGTCCAAGGCATTCACCGCTTCTGACATCTGCAAGATCATCCTTGCCGTTATCCTCCCTCCCCTTGGTGTCTTCTTCGAACGAGGTGCGCCGTGCGCATCAGTCGCTTCTGCCTGGTATTCTGACACCCGAACCAGGCTGTGGAGCTGACCTGCTCATCAACATTCTGCTGACCGTCCTTGGATACATCCCTGGCATCATCCACGCCCTGTACATTATCCTCAAATATTGAGGTAGTCGAAAACAGACTCTTGAGCAACGATACCCGCGTGTACCCTAGTTCCACTTAATTCCATTGCAATCTGGCTGTAAACTTGAACACATTCAATTCGAATCAGGTCAAATTCGCGATCACGTGTGAATAAAGAATTTTACGATGCTGTCACTGCATCCAACACTGCCTCCAATGTCGCAGCGGCGACCTCGCAGTGGCTGACGGTATTGAAAAGGGGTGCCGGTGCGAGACGGATTACATCCGGCTGACGTTCATCGCCAATAACGCCCAAATCATTGAGTTTCTCGTGAACCTTGTGCATCAACCCGGCGGGAAAGAACAACAAGGACAATTGCGCGCCTCGACTGTTTGGATCGCCTGGCGTGATGATCGTGAAGCCCGGCGAGGCGGTCAGGTCCTTGTCCACGTGCACAAAGTGCTTGGACTGCATCAGAAGCTTCTCCAGCGTTCCGGTCAACAGTATCGAGCGCTCCCTCAGTGGTTGCATCATCCCGGCGGCTTCAAAGACCTGCATCGAGCCCAGAACGGACGCCGCGCCAAAGATGGAGGGGTTCGATTGCTGGAATCCCTGGGCGCCCTTGATCGGAGAAAACTTGGGCGGCATGGCAAACCGAGTTGCAGGCTCATGGCCCCACCAGCCGGCAAATCTAACACAGTCCGTGAATAAACTTTTCGGGTTACTCGAAGCGCGGCTCACTTTGGAAGCTCGGTCTCGTTCCATTTCTCGTGCACGTAAAGCCCTGCAATGGAACCTGGTCCCGAATTAAGGTACTTGTATGTGCACCACACGGCAAAGTCGACGTTCCAGTTATGCAGTGAGAGTGGCACATTTCCGACAGCATGAGCCAAATCCCAGCCGCATATGCAACCCTGCGCATAGTAAGCCAAATGGAGCGCACAGCCTGCAAAAGCCCTGACCTGATCCTGGGCCGCCCGAGTGATCTTTTCCATTGGAAACCATTGCCCTGAATAGTATTGCACGCCGCTGAAAATGACTAAGGCAATCGAGGGTCCTTCGCGGGCGATCATGTCGAGAATGTCCTCCTCCCGCAATGTATATTCCCCTGGCCGCGGAGAGACTTCAAGAACAGTCTGCCCGGGATCGAGACCGTGGGCCTTCGCTTGGGAAGCAAAAGCGTACTGTAGATGAATTCGAGTCAATGCCAGCACACGCGAGAGTCTGCTGTGCTATGCAAGCTTACTTGATCCGAGGGAAATGCTTTTGCCTCGCACAGAATCTTATATCTCGTCGAGGTAGGCTTGTAGAACGAGTCCATCATCAGGTGAAGATTGGCCGTCAACGTCCCCATGCACGCAACCTCTGTTTTCGCCGCGCCTGTGCGACACGGGTTTGAATGTGGCAATCGCTGCGGACTGCCTATACTTGCCGACCAAAGCTGCGAAATGCGGCGTTATGTGGTCGCAAAAATCCACCCATCCACGTCCGAACGGATGTGTCGTGAAATGGCCTGCGACTGCACTGGAAGTGTGTCAACCATTAAAGGTTGATTTACAGCTCATAGAGTCGCACTGGGTCTTCCACGCGAGCAACTCTTCCTCGACCAGCGTCTGTGATCGCCTCGAGAGTGGGCCCAGTGAGTTGCCGCACAGATAGGTGCACGTGCTGTCTGGGGCACTCTAGTGGTCAGACGTAGGATAGATGACGATCGATGCAAGGCGGGACCTGGCTCAGGATGCGCAGATGCGCCAATCTGCTTGTTCGTAGGCAGAACGAATTCCTCAGACAGTGGCGAAGACATGAATCAGATATTCCCGATATGGTGCAAGGTCGATGTCCCAGAGTGGAAGTAGATTGGCTTGGTCAGCAGCATATCACCGTCACTTGTTTTCTGCGAATGCGGACGCGCAAAGCGGTCATTGTCGGTGCAGGGCCCGTAGGCTGCCTGGCTGCAATTTGTCTAGCAAAACGTGGATGGCACGTTGAACTTTACGAAGGGCGGCCGGGTGAGTAAATGCGCATGATGCCGGCTCAACGATGGAACATGCCAATAGCTGAACATCTCTGCTTCTCAGACCTGCGCACAGCGACTTCAAAGCAGACCACTCGTCTTAGATCGATAAACCTCGCTATTTCTCACCGTGGGCTGGCTGCCATACAGGTTGTTGACCCCCTTGTCGCCGAGCGTTTCTTGCAAACCGTCATTCCCATGAAAGGACGCATGATACATCACGAAGATTGCACCCAGGTCAGCCAATTATATGATAGAGATGGACAGGTCCGATTTCTTGTTTCCATACGCGTCCTCTGGTTCACGCCGGTCCGCTTGCTTCCCGACAGTGCATAAACTCAATTGACCGCGCGCTCTTGAACGAAAGCCTCTTGGAACATGCTGCGTCGCTAGAGAACACACAGATTTTCTTCCAGCACAAAGTGCAAGCCGTGGACTTTGATCGGAAAAGTATGACTGTTATAGATACAGCCGCTGGCTCTGAGCGGCCTGTGGAATTCGATTTCTGCATCGGAGCAGATGGCAGCTATTCGGTAATCCGGAGACAATTGATGAGGGTGCTTAGGCATGTGCATCCCGATTGTCAAGACTGTGTGCTGACTGGCTCTCCCTGTTCCTGTTATCGGATTAGAATGGATTTCCAGCAAGAGTACCTGAAGGATGAATACATCGAGCTGAGAATGCCAGCAGGCCGTGACAGCGAGGGCAATCCCATCTTTCTGCTTGATCCGAGCCATCTTCATATTTGGCCTCGCCACTCGTTTATGTTCATCGCTCTTCCAAACAAAGTAAGCTCGTGTCACAAGTGCACAATGTCTTCTGAATGCCGGCTTCTGATGTTAGGACAAATCGTTTACATGCACATTATTCGCACCTATCTCAGTCTTGGATCGTCTCGTTGACCGCCAAACGTTCCTGTCTTGGTTCAAAGAATATTTCCCAGACGCGCTGAAGCTTATCGGAGAAGACAACCTTTGCAGCGATTGGTCCAAGAATCCCAGAAGCCCATTAATCTGCACCAAGGTGATATTAATTGGTTCCACGTTTCCGCTTTGACCTCAAGCGGCCCAAACTACAGTCCAATCCTTATCACTATCTGGACAGAGCTATTCTCCTTGGTGATGCGGCGCATTCGATGGTTCCATTCTACGGTCAAGGTTTGAACTGTGGGCTGGAAGATGTGCGAGTGCTCGAGACCCTGCTCGAGGCCGGCCAAGTCTCTGCCATGGTCCCGGAGGGTGACTCGATTGACGTCGCGCTAGCTGGGACACTTTCGAAATATTCGGAGACCCGACACGCAGATCTGATTGCCATATGTGATCTGGCGATGGCCAATTAGTGCGTTCTCCGGCCCATTGGCGGTGATGATTAAACAAATTGACCGTAGTGCGGAAATGCGACACTCTGTGACGACCCCCGGCTACATATTCCGGAAAGCGTTGGATTCGATTCTTTATTCCGTGACTGTTCGCAAGATGGTGGCTCTATCGTCTTTGGTTCCGCTGCTTTCGCAAGTGCCATTTGCTTCCGGGATTTCCGGATGGCTCCCTTTGTACACGATGGTCACCTTTCGGCCCGAGATAAGCTACGCAACTGCCAAGCGACGAGCAGAGCGGCAAGCGCGAATCTTGACGGTGCTGGGCTGGACGGGGACTGCAGTCGGCCTCGGTCTGATGGCTGGCTTGATCAGTAGGGGACACTTGGGCTTCTCACGCCATGTCCGTTTGCATAGATGATTTTATCCCGTGAACACTTCGATTCATCTATTGTGGGTTGGAAGCTCCTGTTCGGGGAAATATTATGCAAGCTTTGTCAATGATATTGAGCATGAATGATATTGTGAACAATTGCGGCCGTATCAAATGTTTTTCGACAGCGGAGATGTTGCTTCTCGAACATGTGCACCGGGGAAATCTCTGTGCGCTGCAGATGGGAATACATTTCCGGGGACGTATTTATTGCAGTGGAAGTAGGTGTTTACAGATCCAGGATAAATATGCAACGACAACAGCGTTCGACGGGACAGGCGGGACAAACAGGAAGAGAAACTGGGTAGATATCGTGACGTAGAGGGTGCGCATGCGAGACAAGCGAGGAGAAGGGCTTCATGGAACAGAAATCAAATCGAATCGACCGCATTTCGAATCGAGTGAAGGGAGGCGAATTACACGGCAGTGGCGGACGGAGGCTTTTCAGCAGCAGCAGTAGCAGCAGCAGCAGTAGCCTTCGGCGGGCGACCCCTCTTCTTCGGAGGCGCGTTCGGGTCGGTCGGGACAGTTGGTTTGGGCGGCCGTCCTCGTTTGCGCTTCGGCGGCGGCTCATCGCTAGAGTCCTCATCCTTCGGCTCTTCTTCCTTCTTTTCCTGGAAGAAGCAAGGGTCGACGTGAGCTGACAACGCGTGAAGGCGCACGCGAAAGTACCTTCGGAGGCCGGCCGCGCTTCCTGGGGGTCGTTGGTGTGTCTCCGGGGGGAGCGGCGCTCGTGTTCTTGTTTTTGCTGCCCTTAGGCCGCCCCCGACCGCGCTTCACGGGCGGTGGCTCGCTGGGTTCCGCTGCGATGGGAGAGGGGCAAGATGTGAGCCGCCGGACGCGCATAGAGATGCTGAGCATCCCGTATCAACTGCACCGCGTACCTGTGTTGGCCCCATCTTGGGCTGGAGAAGCATCCTTGTCATCCTCGGGCTCGCGATCCTTGGAGGTCTCCTCCGGGTCGTCTCGGGGGGATGGAGCCATGAGAGTGGGGAAAAGGGAAGGGCGGGGAAGAGGTGTCGTGCCCTCTTTAAGTTCGCCCAATATAGAATCTTCAAGAATCTTTAGATCTTGCTGGCAGAGAGACCGAACACCTGATGAGATAATCGCTTGCTTTCATCTGGTAAATCCTCACTTTAAATTCGAAGGCGGGCCTAGGCAGACCGTCGTAATCCCCGATAGGCTCAGGCGTCAGGGAAGACGTCGGAATCGCAGAGAATCGCAGCAATACTCGAAAAGATGCGACATATCACGGAGGAGCCCTAAATCATGGTCTGCCAACTTAGTTCCTTGACGTAAACGAGAAAATTCCGAGAAAACCTCACGAAAGTCTGATAGCCCGTTGGAACCACATGGAATGGACTGTGATGGAATTTCTTCCATGGTGCGGGCCCAGTTCGGCTGTGTGGTCGCCAATTCTAAGCGCATCTTAGACATCAAGGCTCCATCAAAGCCTGCCGATCCATTTCACTCTCCGCCGGCGGAATCTCACGTGACAATACCATTCCGCGGACCACGTTAATTAAGTAACCTGCTCAATGCGACGTTGGCCGTTACTCTTACTGCCCGCTGTAGCGGCGCGCCTGAGTTCGCTGCCTGAAGACCCTTACGCATTCCCGAAGTTCGCAGTTGACTTTCTGGACCATCTACCCGTCCCCAATGACACCGCGCAACGATGGCTTGCCAATGGCATACGTGGCGGACAACGCGAATTTCTCGGTCAGCCTTGGGAAGACCCCCGACATCCACCGGCCCTAGGCAATGGAAATGAACAGCAAGCCGTATTGACAGAAGATGTTGTATCAACACCGGTGCGTCGCAGCTCAAGCACTACCGCGCACAATTTGACCCCGACTTCGGAAGGACGTGTCAAATGATTTCTCTCTCGACTTCATGAAAATGGGAGCTGACGAGTACATCTGTCTTATTCCTAAACCGCTGGAGCATCTCGACGTGGAAGAAGAAGCAGAAGAGGAACCGGAACCTATGCACACTTGGTCGCTTTTACTTCCTCTTGTTGGCAACTGCTTATATGTGCGCTGGTCCGTCTCGGCCGCGGTCTCACTGCTGATTCGGCACCTCTCGGCAGCATCGGCAACCGTGGTTCACATACTCTTATTGTCATAACAAGGAAATCCGCCAATTCCGTGAGCTGATACAGGCACGTCCCGCCGCCGGTGGTGCGTGCGAATCAATTTTATCTGTCAGAAATGTTCTCTCACACGCCGAGCAGCCGCTCATCACCCCGAAGAAGATCCCACTGTTAGCTGATAGTTTTTTTTGGCTGACGGCTCTCGACTGACGTTTATCACGTTCTAGTGGGAATCATACACTCTTGGACGAGCGCCGGAAGCTGCGATCGAACCCGGTGCCGAGTTGACTGTGGCGCAACAAGATGCGATTGCTGCCAACGTTGAACTCGCGCGGTCTACTGGTTCTCGCTATTTGGTTCAGCGATGGGGTGATGGCACGGTGTGCGACAAGTCAGGGTGTGTTCTTTTTCCTCGGGATGTCCGGCAGAAGTGTATCCGACGTCGCTGACCATGTGTTTCGTTGACAGCAAACCCCGCGAAGTTGAAGTGCAGGTAAGCACCTATCATTCCGACCGCATGTGGTGTCTAAAATCACTAAACTCTAGTTTCACTGCTCGATGACAACCACGGATGCGATTGCCTTTGTAAAAGAGACCAAGACGTGTGCCTATGTGTTAGTTGTACACACTCCCAGGCTGTGCGGTGAGCCCGGATTCATGTCCAAGAAGGACGCCGGGGAACAGGCTACGATTTCCTGCCGGCAAATCGTGGCAGAGGATCGGGCGGCCGAGGCGGGGACGCGACTTTCAGCGGGAACGGACCATCCATTGAAGCTGGCACGTCCCAAACCTGTACTGCCAGTGCCTGCTGCCAAAGGATCCGGGAGCGGAGGGACGATTGACGGATTGCTGGACGCGAAGCATTCGGACGCGTTGCGCAAAGCGATCGGTACGCTAAAGGACGGGGACTGGAAATCGGGGACGCCAATTGAGATGGAGATGGTCGAAGACGAGGAGGGAAATATCGTCGTCCAGTTCTACGACGGATTGGAGGACATCGAGGAGGGGGGAGATGTTGTCGCAGATATGATCGTCAAGGCTCTGCGAGACGAGGGCTTCAACATCCGGGTTGCCACCGAGGAGGAGGAGCACCAGCACTCAAAGAACAAGAAGAAACGGGTTGATGAGAATTGATCTGTACAGAATATCATATCATGTCTTGTAGGGACGAGTTTAACTGATCGCTATACAGGATTACATGTCTAAATTGTCACTAAATAGATGAAAAGATGGGAAATAATAGTAGCTGTAAGAATAGCAATGTAGGGATCCAGCTGGAAGAAGTGCCTCAGAAAAAGCGTCTTTTCGTCGGCTTCTCCGATACCGTGACCTTGATATGCACATGTTGAGGCGCAAAGCCAGGTCTGGAACAAGGCACGATGTCCCGCAGCCATTCGTCGCCGTCATCTTCCTCATCTGGATCAAAGTCGTGGTCCGCGCAAAACCCGCCGGAAGGATCCATTGGCCCCTCGCCACGCACATGGCATCCGCACAGCAGGTTGCTCTCTTTCCCCTTGCCCTTGACCAGATCCGTCAGCGTGCAGCGCGCCGACGGCTCAACATGCAGCATTCTCCGCAGTGCCGGTCGAGTCTCCCGGGGCAGCAGCCGGAAAATCGACTCGGCCCCTCCGCCGTGGAAAGTCGTAACGCTGTCAGTCCGCTGTCTGCGTTTCGGTGGCTCTGGAATCGGCGGCAAAGGGGGCTTCGGGGTGTCCTGGTCCTGCAAAGTCGGCGTTGCATCGGACGCCGTCGACTCAGTGGTCACCACAACGGGTTCCTCGACAGCCTGTTTCGCCAGATGGGGCGGCGACTGGAAGGCGTTGAAAGTCGCGGCCCGCGTTCTGGGGGGCATCACGGGATTGGCACTCAGCGGCATGGTTGCGACCTTGGGGGTCGGCAGATCATCCGCTCGGGCCCGAGGTGTCGCAGGGAACTCCATCAGCCCATCCCGAGGACTGAGCGGCAGACTCTCCGTTGAATTGCCGGGACGTGCAAACTTGAGCACCGAAGGATCCATTTCGCGATCACCGTCGGCAGGACTCTCGGACAGCATCAGCCGAGAGATGTCAGGCAACGTAGCCGTGCTTGGAAACATCGTGTCGTGCAGCTGCAGCCGACGAGAGGCCACATCAAATGACCCGTTACTCTGGGTGGACAATCTCGTCGGAGGCTCGGTCAACATGGTCGCCACCGAGCCCCGATCCGTGAAAATGGAAGGTGTTTCCGAGGAGTTACGTGTGCTCGTTGGATCTCCTTCAACGCTGCCGGTGTCCAACTTACCGGTGCTCGAAGCACGCTCACGTGCTCGGGGCGAGCCCAGCAACGGTGCCGGCGGGGATGAGGAAGGCGGTGGGAGGGTCGTCCCGCGCTTGGCTATGAGCTTCTTCTCTTTGGGAATCGACAAGTCAGGATGCGCGTTGACGAAGGCCTTGAAGCTCGGGTCCGTCTTGGGGTTTGGGATCGTCCAAGGAAAGCGTCGGAGGACCATACACATAAACATAATCCCCACACTCCAGACATCCGTTTTGCGGGGGTCGTACGGCTCCCCGCTAAGCACTTCCGGGGCAAGGTAAGGATCACTGCCGACAATTCCCGTCGCTGACGTGAACAGCTTGCCCGGGTAGTGGAAGACGGTAGCCGTCCCAAAATCAATCAGCTTCACGACGTTGTCCATGGTCATGACACAGTTGTCCAGCTTGAGATCCCGGTGAGCCAGACCCATCTCGTGGAGGTAGTGGACTCCGTCGCAGACTTGTCTGAACACACAATAGATCTCCGGTCGACACATCTTCCCAGACATCACCACGCTGAACAGGTCGTACGGAGCGTACTCCATGACCTAGAATAGACAGGTTACGGCTAGAAGGCGAGCTGAAGCTCAAAAAAACACACCTCGTAATAGTGCCCATGATCCGAGACAATATCCACCGTCGCGATGATGTTTGCGTGCTTCAAAGTAGACCCGACACAAAATTCGGCCGTAACTTTCTTCTGATACTCTTTCTCGCTCTCTCCGGTGCGCTTCGGCCGGAACTGCTTGACGGCAAAAATTGAGCCACCGTTCTTGCTGCTGGCCTTAATCAGGCGGACGGTGCCCCCGGCGCCACTACCGAGGACCCGACCCCATTTACCGTACTTCTTACCGAGATGAGCGTGAGTGGCCTCCTCGAGCGAGTGGAAGACGTGCAGTGCCGGAGGCGATGATCGGGCTGTATTGAAGCTCGGGGCCTTTGATGGCGCTATCGAAGGGGCTTTCGATGGCGCTTTCGCATGTTGGATTGGGGGCGTGGAGGGCGCGGACGGTGTTTCAGCAGAAATCGGGGACGCACGATCGCTGCCGAGCTGTTCGCTAAAGTTGGAGCGTGCTGGAGATGGAGTGCGGTCTTCGCTCGGGGTCCGGTCCTTGCTCTGTTTGATCGGAAGGGACTTTACGTCCTTGTCCTTGTCCTTGTCTTTCCGCATGAGCGATCCGAGCTTGCTTTCACGGAAGGACGAACGAGCGGATATGCTCTCGGCCTTCGAGTTCGGGGCGGCGGGCTCGACTGCAAGCCCCGCCATAGCCTCCGGCTTCGGCGACGCAGTGGGGGGGTCAAAATAGGCCGATGGCGGATGCGTCGACGCGTCCAGATGGGAGGGAGAACTGTGATGCCCGCCGGGGGAATGTGGAATATGGTTGTTCAGGAAGCGTTTGAGGTCGTGGAGTGGGCCATGTGCAAGCTTGGACACGGCGCCGTTCGTAAGTGGCATCGCCGCCGGGGGTGACCCAGGCGTGAGGGAGGGACTACCCGCCGAGGGCGAAGAGTTCGGTCCAACGCTCAACTTCCTGTGGGGTACGAAGCGAAATTTGGAGCGGGTAGTTGGGGACGTGTCGTGCGGGAGTCCTGCGACGTCCGGAGGGGGTATAGGGTCGAGGCGGAGGGACTGTGGTGGATGAGAACAAGCTCGCTGGAGGATATCAAACGTACGGCATTAGGCTGTGAAGGGACTACGAGGTCAGGCATGGTTGTCGGAGGGAGAGCATGGATCCAATGGCTTACATCAAATCAGAATCTCTCATTACCGAGTTGTCACTTTCTCCTTTGTCACGCAACCTGTGACAAGATTTGATTTTTCAGCGCAGGCAGCTGCGATAAAGTGTCGCATCTGCATCTTCTTGATCCCAAGCAAAGGGATGGCCCGTGTAGCCTGTGCTCACAGGGATCTCCACAGCCGAGTGCGCGCACGCCGTTGCTGTCGACCCAGAGAAGACTGATTTGTTGGCATGAATGTGTCAATAGCCGGACCGATGCGTTTTGCGCGGATTACGTCATGGTAGATACGAGCACATGGGGTATATCTAATCCGTGCTAGCCCTGGTCCTCCGCCTCTCTTTTCCGTTTCATTTCTTTGGAGACTCGGTGCTGGGCAGACTCGTGCTTGGCCAATTCGATGGGGACCTTGCTGACGGGGCTCTTGGCAATCTCTGGGGTGCAAGATCAGATCAATCGTAGCAGCAGCCCTAGGAAGATTACCATTTTTGAGGTCATACCTGTGTAGAAGCGGGTAAATTCAGCCTGTTGGAAGAACGGAAGGAAGACACGCACATGACTTCGTCGTCCTCGTTCGTCAAGAATGTTATCGCGACACCCTGTTTGCCGGCCCGGCCAGTTCGACCTGCAGAAGGAGTGAGCGAGCGTTGGACGATAGCATCCAGAAGAGAAACAGCACAGACCGATACGATGTACATATGCTTCGATGGAGTTGGCCATCTGGTAGTTGATAACAAGACTGACATCCTGCACATCAATTCCGCGGCCAGCCAGATCCGTCGCCACCAAGATGTCAGCATCGCCGCTTCTCAGGGCTTGCAATGCTGCTTCCCGCTGCTCCTGGTTCTTGCCCGAGTGCAACGTCGACGCACTCCACTGACAGCAGTGTTAGCAAGCCTAGGCAACAGATGCCAAGACACAAGACATACGTTGGCCCGCCCAAGATCCTTGGCCACCATGTCGGCCGTCTTCTTCTGGTTGACGAATACTATAATCGGTGCCGGATACGTCCCACTATTCAGAATTTCCAGCATCCGTTGCCTGCCAAGACAATCAGCAGCGCAAAACGGAGGGAATGCCGCTTACTTCTTCTTCTCGTCGCCCGAAATAAACTCGACCCTTTGTTCGACGGTGTCAACCGCCCGTCCAGCCTCGCCGATGGTAATCACCGCCGGTCTCCGCAGGTATTTACGCGCAAGCCGTTCCACGGCAGACGGCATGGTGGCACTAAACAACGTCGTCACCCGTGTTCGCCCCTTTTTCACCATTGTTTCGCCGTCGACATCCATCGCCTCTCCTGGGTCCTCGCCTTCAAGCATATCCGACGGCAGCTTGTCCAATATGAACGTGAGGTCCGCTTCAAATCCAAGATGAACCATCCGATCGGCCTCGTCCATGACAATGTACCGGCATTGAGAAAGCACTATCACCTGCCGCTCGATCACATCCTTCAGACGACCAGGGGTAGCGATAATGATCTCCGCTCCCTCGCGGAGGTTAAACTGCTGTTCTTCGACCGCGCGCTATAGTGCCGCCACCCATCAGGTGGCGTTCCACAACATAAGATGTCACGCACCCCACCAACGATGGAGACACATTTGAATCCCAACGGGCCCGCAAACTTGCGCGCTTCCGACTCGATCTGTTGCGCCAGCTCACGTGTTGGTGCCATGATCAATGCATACGGCCCGAGATGCCGATTCTCGTCAGTGAATGGAGGGAGCTTCTCAATGAACGCCAGCATCGGAATCACAAAGGCCGCTGTTTTACCCGAACCTATTCCAGGAATTAGCATCTGTGTTCATAACAAGATCAAAATAGACGAGCCTGTTTCTGCGATGCCAATAATGTCGCGGTTTTGCAGGCCGATGGGGATAGCTTGGCGTTGGATGGGCGAGGGTTCTTTGTATCCGATCTCTTCGATGCATTCCAATATCGTCTTGGGAATTTGTGACTCGGTCCAAGACCGTAGCGGATGAGGAATCTGCCCACCTGTCGCCAAAACCGTTACAACGTGACGACAGTGGAAGGAGCGAAATCGATCGTACCACGAGCGGAGATGCTGAAGTCCTCCCGGAAGATACGCCAATCTCGTTCTTTCATCTCTGCCAACGACTTCTCTGTCCAGTGTCTCTCATCGGTTCCACCCTTCGCAGCCTTCCTCCGTTCCATGGCGTCGGCATGATAGGTGTTGCTGTCCGAACTTTTTCTCGTTCCGCCACCGTCATCCATGCCGGCCACACGGCCCCGCCCAAACAAGATCTGAGCCCCCTGCCGCTGTCCACCCACAACAGATGGCGCATCCTCGGCAAGCGTGTCATCCTGAGTATCCCAGTCGAACACGAACTTCCGGTCATTGATTTTGCGAATCTTCCGTTTCTTCTTATCGACACCCAAATATCGTGATCGAATCGCTTCGCGGTCAGCTTCGCTGATGTCGGGAACGAATGATTCCATGTCGGCCGCCTCGTGATCGTTTCTTCGCTCTGAAGCATGAGTGGGAACAGGAGGTGGGGGCATGGACGAAGAGCCCGACGAAGGGGTTCCAGTTTTACTACGGTCTGCACGAGGTCCTGTAGGCACATTTTGGTAGCCGTCTCGAGATGAGGACGATGGGCCGGGGGGTGGTGGACGGCGGTGGTCGCGTCCGCGTCCACCAGTATGGCGGTTATCGCGCTCGCGGTCACGGTCAGGGTTTCCATAACGGTCATCGTCTTAATCTGCAGTCAGCAAAGATGCCATTGGTGCACAGAGCAAGGACTTACTTCGGCCGTACCGCGCGCTGGACTCTCGGCTCCGCTCCTGCGCTCGAATCTGTTCAGCTTCCTGCTCAAGAGCTTGTCGGTCTTTTCTCGTTGCTTCATCTCGTTCCTTCTGCTCACGGAGTTCCTGCGCGCGCTTAGCTATAGCGATCTTCGCGCGTTCTTCTTTCGTCAGAAATTTAGGCTGCAATGCATGTAAGAACAGAGGAACACTAGGAGTAGAGAAGATATATTTGCCTTGGCGGCAGCTTCTTTCTCTTGTTTCTGTTTCAGGAGAAGTGTCTCAATGGATAGTGGCTCGGAGCGCGACATTGCAAGTCAAGCTGCTTGAGGTCGTTACCGTCAGTCACATCGTGACTACACTCGGCATCAGCCGCGGGCATGCTCTTTTGCGCCTTTGATGTCGCGAGCAGAGACACCAGAACCCAGTCGCCTGCAAGGACGACGGAATGTTATCACTGAGGTGCAGCTACTCGATGGGGAGGGTGCGATCTCCGACCAACTGGAACTTTGCCTCAAGTACATCTTCGGTGGCTACCTTCCCCTGTACAACCAGCCCAACAACAATTTTTAAATCACCTTTCAGGCAAATACTGTGTACCGCCTCCTTTAGTTTCGGCCGATTTGAATTCTTCTGCACCATTGGCGAATACCGGCAGAGCAGCCTTTGAACTCAGGACCGTGCTTCCAGAGGGTGCATATCTCACACAGGAGGGTCTCGATTCGTGGGCACAGGACACCAATGGCGCGCCTTTTCCCCAGGAAACCAAGGACGAGCTGGTGGAATTTTTGGACGTGACAGACGCTGGGGAGTTGACGTGTGCCGATCTCACTATCCGTGTCGCTGGAGTCTGAGTGAGGCAACAGGTTCAAAGGATTTCTGCAAATCTACCAACTCCAAACGGAGAACGATGAGGAGGAGACTTGGCGCGACCTGGTGTGTGATGTCATTTTCCCATTCTCTCTGCGGTTAGATGACGCCGGCAGTCCAACCATGGCTTCGATCGTACATTGCGGCTAGTAACCACTCGGAGAGAAGACGTGACGGAGTCCGCACCTGGCCGTACATTATAAAACTATTCCGCCGCTGAACTATTTTCCGCTGTCGCAGGAGGTTCCGCTTGCACTCTACATCTGCACGCCACACGACCAATGTAATGCCGTATATATTAGAAATGTCAACACGAATGACCAGTTTGAACCGTGTGTAAGATGTTGAGATCGAATGCGATATGATACATACAATGCAGTGGTACAGATGAGTTTGGTCGTAGACATGCTGTCTACTCTCGTCCTGCGTTGAGTAACTCTCGCAGATTCTCCGAAAGAGCAGGTAGGTTCAGCAACTTGTTCTCGGCAGGAGGCTCTGAGCCGGCAGGCGCTGCACCCACATTACGTCGGCGCAATCCATCGCTGGTACCAGACTGTTCCACTCGCCGCCGATCGATATCAGCGACAAGTTGCGCGAACGAAAGGAAGAGGACCTCGGCTTGCGCGAGCGTCGAATCCAGCTCGATGGTCATACTCAGCTCATTACAGTACTGTGCTGTGTTAGAGTTGATGCGGGCAATCCAATCAACCGCTGACCTTGAGTATCTCATCGAACTAGAAGTTGATGTTAGATGGAACGCCAATGCAGAGGCCAGACGACTTGCCTCTACCAAATATCGCAAAATAACATCGCGATGTGATTCCAGGACAGCCAGCGCCACAAAAAGGAGGAAATTGTTGCTGTAATAGTCCGTCCAAAGCACTTCCCACAAACGAAGCACATCGTCAAAAGAGAATTCGCGCTTGAAGGCGATGAGAACCCATCGGAAGCAGAAAAACAGATTCAGTCCGTCCGTTTTTTCTGGGAGTGATGTCAAGAACATTGGCACAATACGCCAGAGAACTACTCACCTAGGTGTCGATAAAGTTCGGGATCCATAACCTCGATCAACTGCTGCAGAGTCAACAGATGTTTTTTCATGCCACTCTGATCGCGAAGGAAGTTTTGCTTCTAGAGCGGATTTCAACGAACAACAACAAAACTCGTGAAAGGGAAACGAACCGTGCGGTTCATGAATTCGACAAAGCACCAGAATGTCATCTCTTCATCAGTCCCCATCACCACGTACAAGGGAGCACACATGTCTGACATGCCCTGGACATATCCCAGCTCTTTTTCGTAGAAGTTGTATGTCAACAGGATACCTGAGAGTCGGTCAATGTGTTCGTTTGTAGGTGATTGGGCTCCTATGTCGGCCGTTTGGGGAGAGATCGTAGAGTAGCGCATGCTGCGGTCCTTTTCGTCATCCACAGCGCCTGTCGCTTTGGGCGATGCAAACAAGGGCTGGTTCCGATCTGTCCGGCGACAATCTACATCGATACGATGACGTTCCTGAACCATCGAGTCAGGAACTGCCGAGATTCAAGACGAGATCACCGACCTCAAGCGTGTCCGCGCGGTCGAAGACCTCGGGAACACCGCACCATTCGTTCTTGGTAGCATGATATAGTTTCCTGTCGATTTATCAGCCAAGACTCGCGCTTGGAACGTAGTCCTAACCTCTTTTTGTCCCATGCTTCGGCTCTGGATGCATCGGTCGAATCCCATTCGAGAACATCCAGCAAGAACGGCCAGATGCGCTGCCGAAGAGTGCCACTAGGGTCGATCCCTCGCCGGAACACCTCTCTTCGCATGTGCTCCAACCGAACAGTTGGCGTCCCATCATCAGCAAACCAACTCGACCACATTGCTTCGTTGACGGGATGCTCTGGCACTCGAGACGATTTCGGAGTCGGAAGATTAGCAGTCGAGTGCAAGAGCTCGAACACGCCTAATGATGAGGATTCCTCTGCGACAGAGGACGGAGGCAAAGCCTGCGCTTCCCTTCGTCTCGCTCGTTCCCCTTCTTCGGCCACAATCCTTGCCCAGCGCGCAAGATACACTCGCGCACTCTCGAATTCTCCGACACCACTCTTGTCAACCCAGCTTCTCCATGTCGATTCACCGTTCGCGTTGACCAGGCTGCGGACCTAACATGATACCATCAACACCTAGATAAGATAAGATTATTGGAACTCACGGGGTCCGGTAGATGGGGAACGATGGGCTTGGCCAGAGGGTGTGACAATATGTTCTGCGCAGCATGTCTCGTAGCACGAGTGATGTTCGAGAACGACTGCATGAGGGCAGCGCGCGCTTGAGACGACGACTGGGAACTCGATGAGGTGGATGCCAGTGACCGATGGAGCACCGACGCCCGATGGGGATACGCAGCGGAGCCGGAGCCCGGCGTCGCAGACGACAGTGGACGAGGTCGTCGGTGGATGGGGATGGGCGAATGAGAGTTCACATATGGGGACTCTCCCAGAATCTCATCCACTGCTTCATCTGCAAAGAGCTGTGTAGAATGTGCCTCGATATCGGAGCGAGATGGGTCTCATGATACGGTCAGACTTGGCCAAAGGAGTCACATCATGACTCACCAACGAGGAACAACGAAGGTTGGAGCGTGGAGCGTAAGATGTAAGCGTACGACCGTAACTTGGAGAGAAGATGTTCTCCTCCCCAAGAATTACTTGCTCTTGGACTGGTAGTCGGAGATGATGCAGGCGATGGCGGATATGAGGTGGTACTGTTGCGGTTGGAGATTGGAGGCGGAAGGGTGAACGACCGGGATTCATCGTCGTGAAAGTGGAGCGTAGGGAGGGTGTCTCCGTTGATCAGATTTATTCCAATGGAGCCGTCTTGTAAAAGATTAGAGTGAAGGCGCATCGAGAGATCGACGGACGCACACCAGGATGACAATGTCGGGGGTTGAACGATAAGCGAATATATTGAGGTCAGTGGCACGGAGAAAGCATACGACTCCGGTCGAGAGGTCGGAAGGTCGATCAGAACAATGTCTGATGAAGTTTAGAATGCGAATGGTTGGGAAAGTAATACGGACCATCATCGTCATCCTCAAGGAAGGAGCTCTCTTCGACTTTCGTGAACTTATCCCACTCTGCAGTTCCCTTCTCATCCAACAGAGACTCCGGAATCCAAGCAAGCAGATACGTGGGGTTTACGGCCTCCTTTGAATATGATCGTGTGGGAGACTGGACTGGAATAAAGAGAGCTACGGGCACGCACACGCTTCACAAGAACTACGAAGCCAGGTATGTTGTCACGAGCATAGGCGGTTGGATTGACATAGACCTTGGACTTGCTATACAGCAACCTAAATCGATTGTCTTCTGGGCTCATGCCTGGTAGGCTGAGGTCCTCTGCTCGCTTGATTTCGACCATCGAGCCAGACTAGCAGTAACAGCACTCCTTAGCACAGGTCAAGCAAAGACTGTGGAGACCGACGTACAGAGAGAGTGGAGAGATGGGAGTCAAACGAAGAAGCCTTGAACTCCTCTGCATCGGGTTTAGGCTTAATATGCATGGTCAACTGCGGGCGCAGGATCAGAGGCCGTAGTACCTGCGAGCCGACTCACGACGTCATAGCCACTGCATCACGTGATACACAAGCGTCGTCGTTTTCGACCAAGTCAAGGACCATAGGCGCGTTTGGAGGCAGCTTGACGCGTTCGAATCCTCCTGCTTCCCGGGAAAATGGACCGCGGCCTCATCGTTGCTGCGCAGCTTTCTTCGATCTTCCCTTCAACGCAAGCGGCATCTTTTACTGTTCTCACGAGTCGCCACACATCCGCCCTCCCTCCCGTTCCAGACGCGTCAGGACCACCAGTCGAGCATGCATCCTACTCAGCCGTTCTGCACACCCCCGACACCGGCACCATTCTTCTGCGCGTCCTCCATGGCGGCGTGATGCTCGAAATCATCTCGTTGTCCACAACCATTCAACCCGTGCGACTGGTATTTCCAGTGACCGTGCTTCCATCCCCGGCCGTTTTCCTATGGGGAACACAACTTCATGTTATGGCCGTCACGAGCATAGGGTCTCTGCATCGCATCGTCATTCCAACCAACGGAGGCGTAGACTTGTGGCAGGGTCAAACGAACGGCATAACCTCTCATGAATACCAAATTTCGAACTTTCCCACAGCTGGCCCTGTCCTCGTTCATGTTCAAGGCACACATTGCGTGGTCATTGGCCAGCCCGGAGGTGCGATACTACGCTTAGAATCGGAAGGTTTGGAGACGCAGGATGGAGAAGGTGTGTGTGTGTGTGCCTTTCCAGGTTGACACATCTGATTGACGAGTATTGTCCTAGAAGAATGGGCGGAAACTTTGTTCCAGCACGGCTCGTTCTTGACGTCCTGGACCTCGCTCCTTCCCCTCTCATCGACGCCATCGAGTGGCTCTGAAATTGTGTCGATCGCCACTCACCAGTGGCCGACAGACGTGGGACATGTGTGGACTCTGTCCCGGGACCGAACACTGCGGTTCTGGAAAGCGAAGGTCGGCTGTGTGTCGAGCAAAGTGCTCACGCTTGTATCCGGGCGCGAGACTTCGCCGGTGCCCTCACGCGCAGGAACACCGTTGATACTTCTGGACTCTGAACGCCAGACGCTGCTGCGAGTGTTCTCTTCAGAGTCAAGTGACGACCATATCTATGTGCTTGCATTCGTTCCTGGCCCACACTCTCCTTTGTCTGGAGGCACTTTCCATCTACTTGGGACGGTCTCTGATCAATTCTACGAGATCGGCACCATTGAATGTTCGAAAAACAGTGCTCATTGCCATTTACAAGACTTTATGGTCATCTCCGATGTTCTATACACTCTCTGGGAACGGCAGGGCCAGTCGCTAGTGGAGCGAATGCATCTGCGGACAGATCTTTTGGCGGACGGCGAACTATTCCAAGCTCAGCCCTGGCACTCTTCGTCTTACGCGACGGAACCAGAGTTGACTCCGGGATATCTGGAAGAATTGCTGGTGACTCCAGGGTCTATGACGGACAAGTTTTTCGAAGCGATCATGCGCCCGGGTATGTTCTCTGCGCTGACACTGCAGACGGCTGTCGACCAATACTCCGATGCCTGTGCCTCTCTCCCTGGGCCGACTCCGCCGCAACTTTCCGCGAGTTACAGCACGATTGGCGAGACCATCGCAGCTGTGGTGGGGTGCACCGTGACTCTGAACCGAGATCCTCATACTGGGGCTTTGCAGCACAGCCAGTACTGGAATGCGCTCAAACGCGACTGGGAAGGCTTCATTGCGAGGTGCCGGGAACTGGAACGCAGTGCTCGCTGGCCGTTGGTCCTCGGTGCCAAGGGGGAGGGCGACATTATCGTTGTTGAAAGGGAGCGCGTGGGCTCGTTGGTGACAGAGGATCTCCCGATCCGGCTGCGGAGGAATCTTGGCGAGGACAAACTCATGGACCCGGCGCATGCGCTGCTCGGAGTGCTATGGGGCCTGCAGGCACAGTTGGGGGCTGAGTTCATGCTCAGCTTGGAGAGCCGACTTGCCGACATTCTCAGCCAAGAGATCGCATTCTCGTTCACGGATATCATCCAGGATCAAGTGGCGCGCGTCAAATTTGAGGAGGCACTGGAGAACGGAGCGAGAAGCTGGATGGACGGCCGGCTACAAACGATTCCAGACATCGATGCAGCCACTCGCTCTGCCTTGGATGTTATTGGCGGGTTTGACTCCGACGTGAAGAGAGAAGAAGACGAGGTGGAGATGCTGTTGCCTGTTGCTCAATCGGACTGGTCTCGTGCGTTGACTGCGGCGTATGTCAACACCACCGTCAACGCCCGCTACGACCTCTGCCTCTCGTTGGCCACACTCATGTTTTTCTTTGCCGCAGATCTCGCCGACTGGGATCCGGCTTTGCTCGCCGAGGTCTTCGCTGTCTTCCGTGGGATTGCCATCCTGCGTTTTCTCACGCGACAGTCGACTATGGATGAGAGAGCGACAGAGGCAGAGTCCGATGACGTTATCGCGCGGCTTCAGAATATGAATGTGTCTCGCGCTCAGAGGCAGATCAGCATCCGGCATTCCCTGATCCACCGCCTTCTTGTCCAATCTTCGGACACGCTGAATCTTCTGGGCTCCGCACATCGCTTCCTGGACTCTACGGGGCTTCTGCAGTCTGTCACACCTGCCAGCGCAACCAAGTATGAAGTAATCTTCTGCGAGCGATTGCGTGCTCTGGGGCATCATGAAAGCACGAGAGAAATCCTGTCTTGGCTGCCGCGCACCGCAGGTGTGATTTATGTCCAAGCGAGACTCTGGCTCAGCATTGGCCGAGCCGAGGATGCCGCACATCTGCTTGAAAAGCTGGCTGGCGCATTTGGTCTGTGTTGTCCCGCGGCTGAACTTTGACGATCACTGACGTCGGTTGCAGGCCCCGAGAACGCTCTAAGCCAGGAAGATCACGAAGCGCTATCGTTCGTTCTTCCGGCAACGGATCCTTTTGACTCGACCTTCTTCTTCTATCTGCACGCCGCCAAGCTTTTCAAAGCAGCAGCTCTGGTGCAGTACGAAGTCCAATTCACGGCGCTTGCTCTTTCTACAGCGCCACCCGAGGGAGATCTGACCTCGCTTTGGAGCACGGTCATCAAAGGCTTCACTGATCTCGGGCTATACGATGATGCATACTCTGCTCTATTAGCGACTCCATCCGAAAAACTGTGAGGATTTCTACTTCTTGTGCACTGTGTGGGCTCTGAATTTGGCTCGTAGCATACGCGAATGCATCGCATATCTCGTCTACCGCATGTGCGAAGACAATGCCGTCGAGCAACTGGTCGGTCTGAGCTTCCCCGGCTTTGCGGAAGAAGTGGAAGAGGCGTTGTCGTTCAAAGCTCGGAATGTGGATCCTCGCATCCTGCCCAGCTATTCGCGCATCCTCTACTCGTGGTACACTTCCAGAGCAGACCATCGTAACGGTGAGTCTTTTCGGCGGACGACGATGGGCCGTGCTGAATGGGAGTTTTGCAGCGGCTCTGGTCATGTATCAGCGAGCGAGGAAAATCCAAGACCTTATCGGGCTAGATGGGTCGCTGGCTGCTTCTCTGGCGACTCAGCAACTAGATGCATATCTGACCGCGATCAACTCATTGTCTCTGGTCGACGAGAAGGGCTCTTGGTTCCTCTTACCTCTGCTGCATTCCGAGGTTTGTCGTCACTCTGCGTGCTCGACCAGGTGTCTGACCCCACTTAAAGCAACCTCGAAAACGGCGGCGAGTGACGAGACACATTCCCGACTCCCATTTTACGCCTGGAACACATGACCGCGAACTTGTCTCGCTATCGGATATCCAGTCCGACTACGCATTGGCAGCTGCCCAGGCGGAACTGGTCAAACGGGGTCTCTGGACAGAGCCCTTGTTTGATCTCCCACCGGATTCGATCGTCCTGCGCCTTGCCCAAGCGAACCGATTCACACTCGCCATCGCCACTGCCACCAGTCTACAAGTGGACATGTCAGATCTGTTCACTCACTTGACCATGCAGTGCTTGCGCCTCACCCGCCGTTCGAGTGCTGTTTTGTGCGTCGACAGCATTGAGCAATCAGAGACACAGCTGCTAACTGTTCTTCCACAGACAAGAGGACACCTCCGATTGGTTGCTGACAGACAAGACGTCCTCATGGCCTGGGACTCCTGCTGAACGTGGTTGGAGGTTCCTTCGACAGTCGCTCGAACGGTCCGACGGGCCCAGCACCGACTACAAATACAGCAAAATTTCTTTGGAGACCGTCCTCGGGCAATCCAAAGCCTCCCCGCCCCCTTGGCTCGTCAACACCCTCGAGGCATGTTCTACGCGTAAAATCTTGGAATTATCATTGACCTGGCGATAGCTGCATCACCCCGAATATCTCATCCGCATCCATCTAAAATACGACAAGCTGGACGAGTCTATAGCGCACACAATCGCCCTCATAAAAAAGGTCTATTTTCCGCCGGTCTTTTGCGGCTATCGAGTACTCATCGTGCGCGCAGGCGGATGCGCAGGTGTCCCAGGACCCAGGAAAGCAGACCGCAGTCACATGGTTGCCCTACACACTGGTCGATCAAGTCCTCCTGGCTGCCTCGGAAACGGCACCGGGTGCACCACCCCCCTCTGGGCTTGTGCAGCTCCGGTCACTATTGGACAGTCGGTTAAAACGGATGCAGAAATTGAGCATCAAGTTGATGCCGTGATCTCATGGCTTGAAGCCCCGCGGAAACACTTGTCGGACGTTGATATTTACGCGTGTTGTTTGCATGTAATTGGCGAATGCTGTCCACTCTGTGTCGTCTGCTGGACCCAAATGGGCCGGCAGTGTGTTTTCCAAGATCCGAGGCACTCCTGAATAAGAATAAGCGCGCGCACACTCGGGTCGGCAAAGCTGGATTGCCGAACCGTGGTATGCTCTTCTGCACACTGGTCCAGACATGATCACAGCGTCTCCGGAACGCAGTAGGATGGGAACGGGCTCGGAATCACGAGTATGGCCGCCGATCAGGAATATCGCTGCGTTTCCCAACCTAGATTGACAGTCGTGTCAGTCCCGGAGGCATCTTTGAGCAAAGAAAACGCATACGAGATTGAGACCAGAGGCGATGTTGCACAGACTTCGGACCGATCGACGTGCGCCATCAGTGTGTCCTGGAAACATGAGGAACATGGAATCAGCTTCAAGAGACCGGGTAACCTTGGTTTGATAAAAGTTGACGATTCCAGCATCGGGTTCTGACGGACAGCGATGAACGGTATGATTTCACCAATTGGAGGCGTAAATACCATAATCATCAGCCCAGGTCTTCCACCCGGCTTCTTCCTCGCCCCAGTCTAGACCGGCTTCGAGATCGTACACCTGGTCCCAATCGACACTGCAAACTGCCCTGCGGCACTCGTCTGCGAGCAGGCGGTCGATCTTGCTCGTGACCCGGCTAAAGTCGTATTGCTTGGTGCCCCAATGGTAAAACTGAGACGCACGTCAACATTCAGCAAGGTTGTCGCGTGTGTGTGAAGAGGGAAAATGAACCCAGCCGAGATTGGCCCAGCGCAACTTGGGCAGCAGAGCCTCCGGAGTGGTCTCCCGCGCGTTTGCCGACGGGGCAGCGGGCAGTTTCTGAGCCGTAGCAAGATCCTCGAAGTTCGCTGCGCTGACTGCTGTGTTGTTGATCAGCTGCCGTGGACCCACCTCTTCCGGCATCGTCTCGGTGTCTCCGGCTCGGAGGGGTTGGACGTGGAGTGATTCTCCGTTGTCACGGCGTCGGCAGAGAGACCAGAGTCCTTCCTCAGGTATGGCGTAGTGGACGTCAAGGTTGGTTGGATTAGGATGCTTCGAGTGGTCCGCTAAACACCAGCGGATGAGCTGTCTCTGCTTCTCCGGCGAAAGAAATCCGGGCAAGATCACTAGCCCTAATTTCGACGATTGTAGCAACAGTCGCGGCGAGGAAGATTCACGCCTACCAGGATGATGATCGGTCAAGGCGTAGGCTGCGACGTCGGCGGAGGGAGAAATAGATGGCACCTCGCGGTATCCCGAGAGTGCAGTGCCCTTCCACCTCCCATCTTGCACTTCCCTCGAGCGGGTCTCATTCAGCAAAGCCAGGTCCAACACGTCTGAGAGATCCGGAGGGGGAAATCGTGCCTAAGAGCCCCCATCGAATCAAATTTCATCGACGAAATTCTCCGCCTCTTACTCTGAATCGTTTCTCAGCGACTCTGAATGGAGTCCAATCATGCTCAATGGCCTTGTCCCGGCTCTTCGTGGAGGCAAGATATTGCTTCCGCGCCTAGTAGACGCAAGAGATGACAATCACGTAGAAAGCTAGCTGCTGATTATGCACCTTCTTGTAGGCAGGGCTCGTCGGGTCGAGTACACCGCTAGACATGGTTGCAGCAAGATGAAGATTCGCACAGATCAATGACACATACTGATGACGGCACACCAAAAAGTCGAGAGGTCGGCTCGCATGCCGGAAGCATACTATTGATCGCAACTGACAGGTGTTTCTGCACCATAGAGGTGTTTTCAGTCGTTAGAGCCATTTAATGCATGTATTGCCTTCGGGTTTTTTACAAATGATTCCTTATATACTCTCAAATGATTGTGCAAAGTCCGAGAGCAATCGGGCAAGTGCAAAGAATTGCTCGGCGCTGCCGGCGCATCAAATGAGGTGTTCTCAAGCTCATCTCTGCAATTCCAAGCCTCCCGTTGGTCATTTCAGGCCGGGTAAAGACGAGCAATATATTATTAAGTATCTAAATTGTATTTGATACACGCTTTGCTATTCCGGGCTTGCAATGGATGTGAGCAAGGGTGATCAGCCAAAGCGTGACAATTCAAGCTCCGCGCATCAAACGCGTTGATTGACAGCCAAGTGTGTCTGGCATCGGAACCTATTCCTGACCCATCATCTCAACCTCTGATTGCTCCGTCCTCGGCTCCTCAGCAGCCTACGCTACCTTACGCATTGGTTTTGGATCCTTTTTCGACTTTCTCACTCCCGCCTCCTGTACCATACACATCTGGTTTCCAATGGACTTGAGATCCACATTATACATCACACTTATAAACCTATACACCTACTAATGGCTCGAGGACCTTTCCACCCGGGTCTAGCACCTCTCACATGTTGTCAATACATGTAATGTATCTACTTCACACTTATATTCTTTCTTCTGTGAGTGTCGACACGACTCGGGGAGCACAAGATCAATTGCCGGTTTGGCCATCACACTGTCATCACTGTGTCAGTGTGACGATTGTGACCACACATGTAATTCCTCTCGCTCACATCCATTGCAAGCCCGGAATAGCAAAGCGTGTATCAAATACAATTTAGATACTTAATAATATATTGCTCGTCTTTACCCGGCCTGAAATGACCAACGGGAGGCTTGGAATTACAGAGATGAGCTTGAGAACACCTCATTTGATGCGCCGGCAGCGCCGAGCAATTCTTTGCACTTGCCCGATTGCTCTCAGACTTTGCACAATCATTTGAGAGTATATAAGGAATCATTTGTAAAAAACCCGAAGGCAATACATGCATTAAATGGCTCTAACGACTGAAAACACCTCTATGGTGCAGAAACACCTGTCAGTTGCGATCAATAGTATGTCACTCTAAAATCTTTACCTACCTGCTCCGAGATTTAGTTCTTCGAGCACGCCGTCGTCTCTCTCTCTCTCAATGTCGTTGTGGCTCCCCCGCTCGACGCCGGGCCTCATCGTTCGCTCATGTAGAGCCCATGGCGCCGCCGTCATTCCTTCCCTCGCGCGCCCGGCGGCTTTGGCCTTCAGCCCCGCTATATCACGCTCTCGCCGATTCCAGAGCACGAACACGAGCACAAGCACGCCCTCGAAATCTACCACCCCTGTCTCGGTAGATTCGAAGGAAGTGTCAGAGAACAAAGGCAGTTTGCCAGCTACGAAGGAGCCCGCGAAAGGCCCTCTACTGACTCGGGTATGGAAGAAAGTCAAGCACGAAGCGGCACACTACTGGCACGGATCCAAGCTCCTCGTGTCTGAAGTTCGCATCTCGGCCCGTCTGCAGTGGAAGATTTTGCACGGAGAGGCTTTGACGCGACGCGAAAAGCGTCAGGTGCGTCCCCAATGTTCAGCATTGACATTCCCTCGCAGCTCATTTGCCCTCCTCTCTGACCAGCTGAAACGTACAACCACGGATCTCCTTCGTCTGGTGCCATTTGCGGTCTTCGTCGTCGTTCCCTTCATGGAGTTGTTGCTCCCCGTCGCCTTGAAACTGTTCCCTAACATGCTGCCATCCACATTCGAGGACAAATTTGCTGCTGTGAGAGACTCTCGCCCATCATGTATGGAGGGCACACTCTAACGGCCAACGAATAGGAAGAAAAACAGCGCAAGCTGTTACGTGTGCGGTTGGAAATGGCCAAGTTCTTGCAAGAAACCCTCCGAGAGTCGCCGCTGAAAGCGAACGCTCATATCGTCGGCTCTGATGCATTCAAGGAGTTCTTCCGCAAGGTAGGAGCTCGCGGCACACGCTGCTACGAATCTCACCGGTCACACTCAGGTGCGGTCCACCGGAGAATCGCCATCTGCCGCCGACGTCATCAGCGTCGCCAAATTGTTCGATGACGATTTGACCCTGGACAACCTTTCTCGACCACAGCTGGTTTCGATGTCTCGGTACATGGGCCTCAATGCATTTGGGACGGACAATTTCCTTCGCGGCGCCATCCGGTCTCGGCTGTTACATCTCCGTCGTGACGATCAAGCCATAGACTCGGAAGGTGTCGATGAGCTATCCACTTCTGAGTTGCAGGCAGCCTGTCAGTCACGTGGTATTCGCACGGGAGGTGTTTCGCCCGCGAGGTTGAGGGAAGAGCTCAGCACTTGGATTCATTTGCACTTGCACAACCGCGTTTCTGGTGTTCTTCTTGTGCTTGGACGAGCCTTCAACTTTGACAAGAAGCCCGGCGAGACTGAGGATGGAAAGACCAGCATCATCAAGAGTCTGGAAAGCGTGCTGAGTGGTCTGCCCGATAACTTGGTGAGCCGTCATGTGATGTGTACCCGCTTTCTCCCCTGACTGAAACTGTGCAGCTCAACGAAGCCGAACTCGAGGTCGATTCTGACAAAGCCAGCTACAAGCAGAAGCTCGAGGTCTTGCAGCAACAGGAGGAACTTATCGAAGACGAAGAGGAGCAGGAGCAGAAAGAGGAAGATGCGCGCCGTGCTAAACGAGAGGCCGCCGAGTTGGAAGCTCGCACAGCGCAATCTCTTCTGCCCGATTCGGAGGTAGTTCTCCATTTCTTTGTGTTTGACAAACATCTGACGCATCCCGATCAGCTCATCCCGGAAATTGAAGCTGACTCTGCCCGAATGACGACCGAGCAGCTCAAGGAACTCGCCGAGGCTATGTCTGTCATGTCTGCCAAATCCAGTGTTCTCAAGGAGCGCGACGAATTGCGTGCTCTGATGGAAGAAAACTTACAGGCTGAAGAGGTATGCCGTATTTTCGCTCCACCTCAATCCGATGGGCGGCTGACCGGACCGCGCAGGATCCGAAATCTCCATCGGGGGCTCTGACGAAACGGATCCGGAGCATGCTGAACAAGATCGACCAGCAATTGGAGGAATACGATGCCCGTGTCGGCAACTCGCTGCAGACCATGTCGTGTGACGCCCAGGGCCGAATCTCCGTCGACGATCTTGAAAAAGCGCTCGCTGTCATCCGCCACAAGCCAGACGACGAAGTCGGTCAGGCGGTCATCCAGAAGTTGGATGCGGACCAGGATGGCTTCGTCGAGCTTGAGCACGTGCTCGGTCTTGTCAGGGAGGAAGGACTGGGAATCGTCATGGAAGACGAAGCCGCCAAATCGCTGCTCGGCCAGGGCAGGGAGCTCATGAACTCAAGACCAACGCCCAGGAAAGAGGACATTGTAAAAGACGGGGACGGATCATAGACATTCGCCACTGTATGTTGAAACAGCGTAGATATTATGATTATAATACATATCGGAGATTAGACTAATGCGACGCGTCGTCCCTCGCTCACGACCTGACATCGGGGGTTTTCGCCCGTGATGCCGTAGCCTTGAGCGACGACCTTTTTTGCTTTTCGGTTGCCTCCTCGCCATCGGTGCGTTCGGCCCAGAATCGCCCCGCTTGGAGCACGAGAACACCCGTCAGGGCGACACTGCACATGAGATGGTTCGACGCCAGATCCAAAGTCGCCGAGCGCAGCGATTTCGGAAACGGGTCCATGCGCTGGTGAGTCGGCAGAGTCGTAAATTTGACGACGATGTCTGTCACGAGATCAGCTACACGTCCCGCCCGACCAAAAACGCGTCGGGGCTTACTGGGGAGAACCGAGTTGAGATACAGGACGACGGACGTCCCAAAAAGAACTGTGAAGCGTTCGGGGAGAGCCCTGTGCAGACAGCGCTGGACTCACATATGCTCCCGCCGTCGAACATGAGATTCCCCGCCTCGCCATCCCGGAGACTCCACAGAATCGAGCCTGCGCCGAGCGCAACGACTCCGGCGGCAAAGGAATAGATAACAGGCGAGCCCTTGGCCAGAATCGAGTAGTATGATGCAGCTAAAATGTTGGTTAGCGAGCGCACTAGTGCAACAACACAGTAGAGTGAACGCGGCGCCACCTTTCCATAAGTGTTCGTCAGTTACTGGAGATTTCCATAGCGTCAAAGAGTCGGCGATCCAATGGGTGAACAGTGTTCCTGCTCGGACGTTAGTTTAGAAGGCGCTGCGCTGCGTATGCGGGGGGATGACTGACCGAGAAGGAAGCTAGTTACACAGACGACGACGGTCGAGCGAATTCCCATGATGCTCCAAGTGCAAAAACAGACAAGATGATACAGGAACACAAAGTCCAGAAAGATACAGTGAGAGAGGGTGCAGATAGACAGGCCCGGGGGCCAAGTCCCGTTACACCAAGAAATGTCACGTGAAAATGCTTTTGAGGGGGTTGCAAGCGCATCATGATTGCCTTGCTTGTCAAGGCTTCTCCATCCTCATAATTGTCTCAATTTCGTGCGACGCGGTTTGACCCGCGATTCCGTTCTTTTCCGCTATGTTTCTGGTGGTCACTTGTTCGATCCATCAGTACGTTTTCGACTTTTCCTCATTTATGCTACAATTCCTCAACAACTCTCTGCTGGCCGTCAATGTGTCACTATTGATCATTATGACCATGAATAGAGCAAGGCACTCTGCCGGCGGAGACGGCGCTCTCTAGTTCATGATCATGTGAAGTGAATAACTGCCATCAAGTACGGTACTTACTATTGATCGCAACTGACAGGTGTTTCTGCACCATAGAGGTGTTTTCAGTCGTTAGAGCCATTTAATGCATGTATTGCCTTCGGGTTTTTTACAAATGATTCCTTATATACTCTCAAATGATTGTGCAAAGTCCGAGAGCAATCGGGCAAGTGCAAAGAATTGCTCGGCGCTGCCGGCGCATCAAATGAGGTGTTCTCAAGCTCATCTCTGCAATTCCAAGCCTCCCGTTGGTCATTTCAGGCCGGGTAAAGACGAGCAATATATTATTAAGTATCTAAATTGTATTTGATACACGCTTTGCTATTCCGGGCTTGCAATGGATGTGAGCAAGGGTGATCAGCCAAAGCGTGACAATTCAAGCTCCGCGCATCAAACGCGTTGATTGACAGCCAAGTGTGTCTGGCATCGGAACCTATTCCTGACCCATCATCTCAACCTCTGATTGCTCCGTCCTCGGCTCCTCAGCAGCCTACGCTACCTTACGCATTGGTTTTGGATCCTTTTTCGACTTTCTCACTCCCGCCTCCTGTACCATACACATCTGGTTTCCAATGGACTTGAGATCCACATTATACATCACACTTATAAACCTATACACCTACTAATGGCTCGAGGACCTTTCCACCCGGGTCTAGCACCTCTCACATGTTGTCAATACATGTAATGTATCTACTTCACACTTATATTCTTTCTTCTGTGAGTGTCGACACGACTCGGGGAGCACAAGATCAATTGCCGGTTTGGCCATCACACTGTCATCACTGTGTCAGTGTGACGATTGTGACCACACATGTAATTCCTCTCGCTCACATCCATTGCAAGCCCGGAATAGCAAAGCGTGTATCAAATACAATTTAGATACTTAATAATATATTGCTCGTCTTTACCCGGCCTGAAATGACCAACGGGAGGCTTGGAATTACAGAGATGAGCTTGAGAACACCTCATTTGATGTGCCGGCAGCGCCGAGCAATTCTTTGCACTTGCCCGATTGCTCTCGGACTTTGCACAATCATTTGAGAGTATATAAGGAATCATTTGTAAAAAACCCGAAGGCAATACATGCATTAAATGGCTCTAACGACTGAAAACACCTCTATGGTGCAGAAACACCTGTCAGTTGCGATCAATAGTATAGGTAGTGATAGAATAGTCGTAATCTCCTCGGGAAGATAGTGCAGATGAGTAAATAGTCCGGTCCACGCGGCTGGAAGCCGTATGTGCAAAGATACATCGTGCTACAAACGACAGAACATCTAGAGTCTCATGGTCCTGGAGTGATGCCGGCGCCGGGGGCGGCTGTGCAGACGGTTGCCGGAGGGCTGACTGTGGATCCAATCCATGGATCCAAGTAGGAGCAGCCGGCCATTTTGGTCATCATACCAGCCGCGTCAGAGGGATTGTTCCATCCATTCCCGACGTTGACGCTCGCAGTCAGACTCTGGACACCAGCACTGCCACTTACTCCAGTGATGGTGGGAGGAGCAAGTGTGATCGGGCTGCCTGTGGGAGCATAGGCAGGCAGCGAAGTGGCCGCCATAGCGTTGTTATTTCCAAAGGAGATCGTGGGTGGAGGCCACGTGAAAGCCGAAAGCGCGCTCGGGTCGATGGTCCCGGCACCAGCCCCACCGGTCTGCCAGGAAGACAACGTCCCGGTGAACGGATTCGCGTTTCCGCACTGGCCAACAGCCTGACGAGGATCGGTCGGCATCCAGCCATTTTGCAGACCCAATTGGTAAGACCACTGGGGGGCCTCGACGATTCCAGCGGTCGAGTTGGCGACTTTCCATGTCCAGAAAAACCAGTGCTGCAGGCAAAGATGAGTTAAAGTGACCAAGTAGAAGGGTAGGTGCCAACGCACCTGCAAAGCGTCCATGCTGGCCATCGCAAATGTCTTGTACTGAGACTTGGTCTTGCTGCTCCAGTTCGTGTAGTCCAGCCAGTCCGTGGAGCAGTTGCCGACGACAGGCCAGTTCCCTCCCTGGTTGTATGTCCCTTCGTATCGCACACCCTGTCCGACCCCGTTCACATACAAGCCACAGTCCGTCACCGCATTGCTGAACTCTCCGGCCAGAATGAAACCAAAATTGGCCATTGAATTGTTGATTTGGGCACCCCAACTCGAGCATGGCTGTGTCAGGTGAGACCCAATCGGGTCCGGGCTCTGCCCGGCGAAGCAAAGGTAAGGGTGATAATCGAGAGTGAACCGATCGGCCCCCGGGAACATCCCATTGAATTGATTCAGGTCGACAAACCCGTTGTGGACCGACACCAATGGTCCGTTTCCAGCCCCCAACCCGCTGGCTGTCCGCACTTCCTGATAAGCCTGCAGATAGCTGCACGAAAAGGATCAGTCAATCTTGCCCGATGCGCATTGCAACGACCGACTCACTAGCGCGACAGCGAGTCCATCCCGATCTGGTTACCCTGCGGCTCATTTGTGATGCCGAAGATGGCTACGACATCCTTGTACTCAGGTTGACTGATGAACTCGGCCAAAATGCGGATGTAGTCAAGCGACCGCTGGGCGTTGGCAAGTCCCATCGGCCCGTACAGCACGTTGTAGCTGCCCAATCTTCCGGAGTGGTTCCATCCATTCTGCGAGCCTGGCAGAGTGTGCAGGTCGAGATTGATGCGGATGCCGTACTTTCGAGCCCACTTGATCGCCTTCAGGAAGTAGGTCCACGACACTTTCGGCAAGAAGCCCTCGCCATCCCACATGTCGATGGCCCAATACGGCAAGGCGATACGTACGAAGTTCAGACCTGCTGCAGCAATCTCCATAAAGTCCTGCTCGGTGATGAAAGTCTCGTAATGCTGCACGAGCTGGTCTGTGCCGCCATTCGCGGTGTCGAGCACCATGGCTTGCATCAGTGTCCATTCGTCGATGATCGTTATCCCAGCGTCAACTGTGGTTTTCCGACTCTGGAGGGTTTGATACAGTGCAGGCACTATGAACTGCAAAGGTTGTTAGGTGCTGATGAGGCGGAGAAAATGGCTGATAGGGGACTGACGGGTTCGGTGACGAGCCACCCGCCAATATTAACGCTGTAGGGGGTAAGAATAAGGTAATACGCGTTTAGAGAAGACACACCCTCTAATCCTATCAACGCCGTAATGGAACGTCTCGTTCAACGCCGGGCTCCATGACTGGGCACGCGCGCCATTGTTAAAGGGATCGTTCACGTCGTACATCCATGTGCCACCGAAAGGATTCGAATAAGTGAAAGTAGACCCATCGTCGGCGGTCACGGTGCTTCCGTCGCCTCCAGTGGTCAGAGCAAATTTGATGGATGGCCCAGAGGATGATGAAGCAGACGCAGAGGGATTTGATGGCGAACCGTTACCAAGGTTGCTCGTACCGCTGGACTTGTGTTTCCCCGCGGTAAGCGCGATGACTACTCCCAGAACGATAGCCGCCACTACCACAACACCAACCCCGATCAAGATGGGTTTCTTGCGCGACTTGGGTTCCCAGGCGGATACCCCGCGCTTCTCTCTGCGCAGAGGTTGCTCGCCGACAAAAAAACCAGGCTCGTCGTGATACGAAGAGTCGGTGTAGCCATCATCTCGCCTCGCTCCGGATTTGAAACCCACGGTGCTGTCCGCGGTGTACGCTGAGGACCGGTCGGCGGGGAAAGTCGAGTGCGACGACGATGCGTACGACTCGCGCATTTGGGCACCCCCATCATCGTACAAGGCGCGACCGAGAAATCTTGGTTGCGCGGCACCGAGTGGGATGCCCATGTCGTCCGAATACGGGAGGCCATCGGCATTGGGAGAGGGAAGATGGAACGAGGACCCTGGAGGGGACGGAGGGGCATTGTAAAGAGTGGTGGGCGCGTGGTCCTCGTGGGTGAGGGGTAGAGGCTCATATTCCGTGCGTGGTTGAGCCATGATTAGCGTGGGGTGAGGGGAAGAGGTAGGTCAAACGGAAATGTGGTGACCTTGGCGCTCCTGTCAGTTGTCTGCCGTCACTCATCGCTTTTGATTTATTTATCTTATGTATGGTCGCGGATCTCAGACGGGCAAGGGATGCCGCACCGCCCGTCCACACGTCTCAGAGTCAAAGCTCCATAGAAAGGGCACTGTATGTGCCCACATATTTTTATCTCGCTAGAACACTTACCAACCCCGTCGAACCTTGTATACGAGCCGGAACTGGCGGCAATTCTGATTTGCACACAGCCACCTGATCGTGAGCTCTTGTTTTCCCCAACTGCCACTATACAAAACACAACTACCGCGGTTTCTTCATGCTTGGGCTGTGTCGACGACGTCTATTCTCAACCGTCCCGTGGTTTGTAGACGCGAATGTGGCACCGCGCTCTTCCCCGCCACATCTGTCTCTACACGAGATACCTCCACTGCCGTTTGACGCGCCGCAAGTAGTGAAAGAACTCCATGCTTTACTGGCGCAATCGCCTCTTCTTGAGCCGACGTCTCTGATTGTGGCGAAACCAAGGTCTCTGCCTCCTGGTCCTCCACTTCCTCTCAGGGAACCTCAGGGTCGACGCAAACGAGGGGGCACTTTTTCTGGTCACTCAGAATTTGAGGTCCCAGGTTCACTTTGGAACTGGACAGTCATGGCACAGGTGATTTGGTTTGAAACCCTTGTACCTGCTTGGCTAATAACATGCGCTTCAGGTCAAGGAGGGCACTGAAAACAAAGGTGCGATCGAGTCTGTGGTGCGAATCGTGCGCAAAACGGTATACCCACTCAGTCTTTCGCGATTCGCTTTCTCAATATTCCCAGCTGCTCACTCACCGCCCACCTCTTCCGATTCCTCCCAACTCTAAACACCGGGAGAACAATGGCTGGGCTTTAGTAGATGCTGGCTCGTTTGCTGTGCATGTACTCAGCAAACAGGCTAAGGATAAATACTTCCCTGTGGATAGATACGACAATCGTGACTGGTGATTCCCTTGCGCAAGCTGGAGCTCCTTCATCTCACATGCCATGGTGCCATGCTCGTCAGAGTTGACTCCCGCTTGACGTCAGACCTTCGCCCTCCCTAGTATATATACACCGCGTACGCACACCGGGGACTACTCACAAATGGCTTTGAACGACAAGAATCTTCTCAACAACGCACAGGGCGCCGGTGTCTATCCTGGCATGGCGAACCCGACTAGTTCTTCAATGCCCAACGACCCCATGGAAACAAACTTTGTCAGTGTTGTCCGCACGCGCGCTAATCCACTTGTTGAAGAATTCATCTTAGGTTAACGATCCGACTACCGATGACAAGGGGGCCGGCGCCGGTCCCAATTTCGAAGGTCACAAGCAAGCGCAACGTTTGTTCAAGGAACAGGCAGGCGTCGTCGAAGGTGCACCTGGAATCATCGAGAGCACCAACGTACATCCTCTTCGACCAGATTCAAACGGTATGCATATAAGCTTCTCATGTTATCATCGCTGACCTTCGCACAGATGACGATGGGTGGGCACACGCTACTAAACAGCCGAACGCCGGTAGCACAGACTCCCCCAACGAGCAGAGTTTTGCAACCCAGGCCATGAATAAAGCCTCCGGCGGCGCAAAAATGGCTTACGGTTACGCCACTGGAAACAAAGAGGTGCACAAGCAGGGATCGGATGAGTACTATGGCCAACAGTAGAGAGATGGTGTAGCACCCTGTAGCACTTCCATTTCATCATTGTACAATTAGTCATCAACATTAAATCAGTCCTTGAGCTCATACTATGACTTCAAGAGCAGGAGGTCTCTACGGTGGCCTTACGTTCTCGTCCGGAGTATCCGTCCCGGCTTCAACACTCCCAGCTCCCGCAGCCGACCCTGTGCCTGTTGTTGAACCCGTGGAACAACCCGCCGCTCCAGTCCAACAACCTCAGCCCGCTGAAGATTTGGGAAACGCAGGACCCGCCGGAAAATCCACAGCTGGTATTTTCATCCGTTATACCTAGCTTTTCCGAAACACTTTATTGAATCGGACATTCATGTCGCTCCGAAGGATGGTCGTCCTCGCTCGCTTTCGCTCCAGTGCGGCGTAATGCTGTACAGAAACCCAAGCCCACGACAGCTCGGCTTCCCGTCGGGGCGGCCTTCACGACTGTCGCGAGCTCCGCCGTCGTGTCTTCCTCTGCGGTAGTGTTTGCGCCTCCTGCCTTGATCGAACCTGCAGCGAAAGACGACGCGCCAAAAGCCGCTGAACCAGGTGGATGGGGCAAGAAAGTGAAGCCTCCATCGATGGTGCTGGATGAAGATGTGAATGGCTACAAATCCGCGTATTCGAAGCGGAAGGGCGGTCAAGGTCCAGGTGGGAAAGGGAAAGGCAAGAAGGTGCGTTTCTTGTCACGTCTTGCTTTTCTCCGCCCATCGTTTTCCTGTTAGAACAAGAACATTCCCAGCATATCTGCTTGGGATCCTACAGAGCCATACGACTTGCTTCGACCAAATGATTACAACGAGTACAAAGTGTGGAAACAGAAAGATCGTATCGACCGTCGAGAGCGTCTCGCTGAAGAGCGTCGCCGCGAAGATCGCAAACGTGGAAGGAGCGATAGTCCACTGTACAGCGAGGACGAGCATTCAGACGAGGACAAACGACCGAGGAAATCTGGTGAGTGAATCAAAATACCGTGGTATGTTTATTTATGTTCTTGCCATAGGACGATATGATTCAGAGGATCGCGGAGTTCATGACCCAGTTTTGCCCGTGTCTGTTGCACCTCCTCCTGCAGACCTTACCGGGGATGATGCCTACCAACGTCGGGTGGCGTTGTCGCAAAAGTTGCCACCGACCATAGAACAGGAAATGCCTGCTCCAAAAGTGACAGAAACGGGCGATGAGGCGTATCTCAAACGCATCGCCATGTCTAGCCAACCTCCGCCGGCCCCGGTGGCCCGTCCAGCTTCTCCGCCAGCTCTAGCCTACAACCCGTTCGCACCGCCATCGGCACCACCCCCTCCGCCGGGACCACCACCTTCGTTAACGACGGCATTGGATGCCAGAGTCAAAGCTGCCGCAGCCATCGCCGCTCGTCTCGGGGCCTTGAGCGGGCAAAACGAAGCGGACGAAGCGGTAGCGCAAGCTGCGCCGGCGAAAAAGTACGTTCAACTGTTCCATCTCCGGTTGCGATATCCTTATGTGGATCGTAGGCCTGACCCTCACGGCTATGCTGCGCGGCTCATGGCGAAATGGGGTCACAAAGAGGGCCAGGGACTGGGGGCTGATGGCTCCGGGATCGTGAATGCGCTCACTGTCGAGCAAGTGAGCCAGACGAAGAGCAACAAAGCTGGGCCTAGCGGCAAGGGCATGGGCTCCAAAATGGGCAAAATCATCAACAACAATGAAGATCTCAAAGCGAGAGAGGACAGAGAACGCTTTGGTGAGCCCAGCAAGGTCGTCGTCTTAACCAACATGGTCGGGATCAACGACATAGACGAGGATCTCAACGAGGAAATTGGTGAGCTACAGTCATTTTTTCTGTTACGGGTGGCGCTCAAGCCATTTTAGGCGACGAATGCTCCAAGAACGGTGTCGTGGACAGGGTTGTCGTCCACGTGGTCAGCCCTCCACCGTCGAATCCGGAAGAGGCGGTCCGCATATTCGTCTTGTTCGGTGGGCCAACTGGAGCTTGGAAGACTGTACGAGAGCTGGACGGCCGATTTTTCGGCGGGCGAATGACGCGGGCTCGATATTTCCCTGAGAATTTGTTTGCAAAACACGCCTTGGATGTTCCGTTGTCTTGATTGTATTGTTGTATACGAATGGGAATACAATAGGAATTACGACGACTAGTAAACCCGCTTGAAAGGAGGAACAGCCTTGCACTCGTTCTCGTCCAAAGTCGTTCCGATCACAGCCCGGTACTGGAGCTCAACGTCGGGCTTCGTGGGGTCACGCTGGAAACTCAGAGTGTGCTTCATCCACTCCTTGTCATCGCGCTGGAGTAACGAACAAAATTAGAGCTGTTAAACAATGTGTAAGAAAGAATAAAACGGACATCTGGGAAGTCCTCGCGCGCGTGAGCACCACGTGACTCTTTGCGAGCAGCAGCCGAGGTGACCGTTTGCATGGCACACTGCAGAATGTTGCGCAGCTCCAGGGTCTCAATCAAATCACTGCCAAGCTCATCAGTTTCCTCGCCGCTTCCTCTGCACGAAACAAACGCACGAGTTCCAGATCATGCTTCGGTCCTTGATTCCAACATTGTCGTAGCTCTTGTAGATCTCGGTCATCTTAGCAACACCGTCGTCCAAACTCGACTGAGTACGGAAAACAGCGGCATCAGCTTGCATCGCCTTTTGCATCGCCAGCCGAATCTTGGCAGTGGGCTCCGGGCCATCCGAAGTTCTGGCCAAGGGTGATCAGCGAACTGATAGGCAGCAAGGTTTAGCAGACTCACCTAATCTTATCCAAAAACTCGACAGTCTCCATGCCAGCCTCTTCCGGGATAGCCTTGTGGGGCTTGCCTGGGGTGAGGGTTTCCTTGATGTGGTGGGCGCAAGCGCGACCGAAAACGACGATATCCAACAGCGAATTGGCGCCGAGACGGTTCGCACCGTGCACGGACACGCAAGCAGCCTCGCCGGCAGCATACAATCCCGGGACAACCTGGTCCTTGCCCTCCGCATCGACAGTGATGACCTCACCGGTGTACTTGGTGGGGATACCTCCCATGTTGTAGTGCACCGTGGGCAGGACGGGGATCGGCTCCTTGGTAACATCGACACCCGCAAAGATAGACGCCGTCTCCGAGATACCGGGCAACCGCTCGTGGAGGACTTCGGCAGGAAGATGGCTCAACTGAAGGAAAATATGGTCCTGGTCAGGGCCCACACCACGCCCCTCCCGGATTTCCACGGTCATACTCCGAGACACGACATCCCGCGAAGCAAGATCCTTGGCCGTCGGCGCGTAGCGCTCCATGAAACGTTCTCCCTGAGAGTTAAGGAGGTATCCACCCTCTCCTCGAGATCCCTCAGTGATGAGACAGCCGGAACCGTAGATACCAGTCGGGTGGAATTGCACAAACTCCAAATCCTGCAGCGGCAAACCAGCTCGGACGACCATCGCGTTACCGTCGCCGGAGCAGGTGTGCGCGCTAGTGCAGCTGAAGTATGCACGTCCGTATCCTCCGGTGGCCAAGACAGTCTTGTGGGCGCGGAATCGGTGGAGCGTGCCGTCCTCCATGTTGAGAGCAATGACACCGACACACTCGCCATCTTGCATGATCAGATCCAAGGCGAAGTATTCGATGAAGAAGTTGGTGTTGTGGCGCAAAGATTGTCCATAGAGAGTGTGCAGAAGCGCGTGTCCGGTCCGATCGGCCGCAGCAGCACAACGATATGCCTGGCCACCTTTCCCGTATTTCAGGGATTGACCACCGAAAGCACGCTGATAGATCTTGCCCTCCTTCGTTCGAGAAAAGGGCACACCAAAGTGCTCGAGCTGTAGGCAATTCGATTCGACAATGAAGTCATCCTGAACTTGGACAACATACCTCGATGACGGTGCCAGGAGCTTCGCGACACATGTAATGAATGGCATCTTGGTCTCCGAGCCAGTCTGAGCCTTTGACCTATGCGTAGTTAGCGCACCGAGAAAAAAAGGGGGGACGTCGCATACAGTATCATACATGTGCCACCTCCAATCATCCTCAGTCATATTCTAGATACAGGATCAGTGCTGTTGGCATGGACAGTTACGTGCTCGACTTACTCCGAGGGCGGCGTTAATACCTCCCTGTACGCCAGTTCAAACAGGCATTCACTGAGAAGACAATAAACATACCTGGGCCGCGACCGTGTGACTTCGAGTGGGGAAGAGCTTGGTAATGCAAGCAGTGTTGAACCCGGCCTCCGCCAGCCCGAACGCAGCGCGGAGACCAGCACCACCGGCGCCTCTGCGAAATGGATGAGCAGCAGCCCAAGAAAACTTTGCTGGGACACTCACACAACGATAGCATCGTATTCGTGCTCGATGAGAGGGTACTTTCCAGAAGCCCAAGACTGGGAAAGGATCAGAACGGGCGACCAGCATTTACGGATGGTACCCCAAGAGCGCGCCATACCTTGACTTCTTCAGCCTTGACCGAGTTAGTGCCTACGACCTTGTGTACGGGGGCAGACGAGTAAAAGGACCGAGCGCGGGGCAGTGTCCGCGCAAGACTTTTTCTGAACATCGTTCAGGGAGAGATGAAGTTGCACAAGCCAGCAAGTCTTTACGACGTCTAAATCCGAATGACGCCGACATCACCCGCCAATCACATGCTTCTCATTTGATTCGGGCATCCGCTTGTCCGGCGGCGTTGAAAAGACGTGGAGATTATACAACATGGTAAGTAGAAATCTTATACAGTTTCTGAAAGTTCATTGTCCCATGGGAAAACTATGAGACGCCCAAGGGATCATGGTCCAAATGGACTGTGGGCCTCGGCGGGGACCGGGTGAGCTCACGTGATTTGATGTCCGATGATGGTCGCAAGATGGCTGATGTAGGCGGAACTCGTGGAAGTGATGCACTGGGAAAAGAAGTCGAAAAGTTGGAAGGAGTGTGGTGCCACGGAGAAGGCTTGGATGGTTGTGCAGAATGTGTAACTTTCGCATGCGGCATCGCGGCTGGGGCTGGTCGGCTACGTGGCTCTGCTATTGAAGCAGGCGTGGGCGGAGACACAGAAGCCGTCACAGGTTTGTTCTTGTCCTGCGCAGCCTTTCTCCTCTTCCATAGTTCCTCTTCCCCGAACAGTCTATCCTCCTCGAGCTCGGACAACCGCACAGAAGCAAGCACGTCCCGCACATATGAAACCGCTTCGAGGGCCTCTCGTTTCGATTTGCGCAGGCGATCTGCATCTGAAGATGCGGCTTCATCCTGCAGCAACACATCCAGAGCCCAGCCAAGTGACTCGGACATCCTTTTGTTATTCGCATGCACCTGCACCATTTCACGCTCAATCTCCAGTCGCGAGCGAGGCTCCCATGGTGGTCTATCTGGCTCATCGACCATCGGGAAGGATGGATTCGTCGGGGATCGCACGAACGACGCCGCCAACTCTGATAGGTTACGCTGAGGGCAGCGGTCAGATGAAAAGCCATCGAACTTGCTACAGCACTCACCCGAATCTCCGGCACTGCACTCATCAATGTCTTGTTGATTCCCAGGCTTTCTCCACGTTCCAGTAGGCTACGGGCCATCGTCTCGATCCCTGTCTGCCGAGCATCGATGCTGTTTCGTAGATTAACATGTGCTGATCCGACACTCGGAGAGGTTGCATGTGCGGAAGTCGGTGGTCTCCTGCGCTGAGGAGCTGGAGGCGGCGCAGGCACTTCGAGAGAGATACCCAACGTATTCCGGTTCTCGAGCAACAAGGAGTGGCCGGTGGCTTGTGTAGGTGACATCTGGAGGAGGATAGCTTGGCGAACCAAGATTGTACTGGGATGCGCTCCGTCTAGCGCATGCATCGTCGGATATCGGAGCAAAGTTGAAAGTTGCCCGCTGTAGTCGGTCGGAAGAACTGAAAAGGCTCAGTGTCTCTTCATCGGAGAGCATGGCAAACCTACGCTCATTACGAATTCGAATCAACATGGCCACACAGATCCAAGGAGCCAGATCAATGCTCGACGCAAAAAGGGCATCCCACAGTCGCATGGCAGACGGCAGGTCCAGTTCGCGAGTGAACAAAAGTCTGAGCCATCGTATACCATAGATCTGAGGCTCGATCCCAGCCGATTGCATAGACTTCCACAGAGCAGGGTCGACCGTACGAAGAAACGTGGATTGTATGCGATTGCAGTCCTCGACCACAGGTGTGATATACGGCTTGATCTCAGCCGGCTTCGCGGCGAGGGTGGCGAAATGAGATTGGCTTTGTTTCAGTGCTGGATTGGGTTCTTGCCACTCGTACCATCGAGAGGCTACTCGCATCACAGCTTCGAATAGGGCCCAGGCATCCGCGGCCACCCATGTCTTGGAGCACATCTCTGACAATCCAGGACAATCGGGATAAGCATCCGGCTTGTCGATTGAATCATACTCCACCGCAAGGTACAGCGCGGCAAGAAGCTCGTGCATGCCTGAGGGTCGTTAGGATGGATCAGAACGGCGAAAGTGAAGGAGACAAGGTTACCTTGGCGATACCCCACGGAAGGATTCGAGACGGCTGAGTACAAGAACAAGATGTTAGTTAGTTGAATCTGGACCTAAAAACAGTCACGAATTAGTAGAGAGAACCAGAAATGGAATCGCATACCTCAGGGTCCCGGAAGAACGCAATTTCAGGGAAAGTCCTCTCAACATCCTGCAGGATCGTTTTGCGTAATTCCACGGATGCAAACCACTCCTTCCACGGATTCTAGACCTGATTGAGCCTTGCGGTCGGAGTAGCTGTGATACGATCAGCGCACCTCTTGGTGTAGGCTGAGCGGATTGTTTGTCTCCAAGTTGCTCTCCGATGCTTGGCGTTGGGGAGATTTCGAAGACCCTGGAAGCACAAATCCCTCTTCGTAGCTTCCATCGGGAGCGCGCATCTTCTCTTCCAACAACTGATTGAATTTCTTGCGGTGGGTGCGCAGGGATACTAGCGGTGGAGAAGCATGGCTGTCGGTGGCGCGTTTCAGCGGCTCGTCGTCGGGAAGCAGAAACAGCTGTCAGTATTCCATCCAGTGAGCTACACGCCCATGTGTGTGCAGGTTGATCCCACGGACCTTCCATGCCACACTCCGCCCAGGGACCTGTAAGGCGTCGTCACTAATGTTGAACAGGCGATCTGCTAACGCAGCATCGCGGATCCGGGCCAGCGACCCCGACGCAAACAGTCGTGTGTACGCCTGTCTATGATGGTTTCGTTGAGGCCGACTCCGCTGCGGATGAGAAACACGAACTTGAGAGGCCTAGCCTCCATCGTCGTTGAATGAGAGAGTGAATGCTGTGCATGGGGCTGATGCGCAGATCTAATCTAATCTCCCGAATCAAGAATGCATTCGTGTATTATGCCAAAGATGTGGAGAAGTGGGTACGACTGAATTGGTCATATGCCGGAGTTTGGTCTCCGTTTTCCGCTCGAAAGAGCTCGCTGAATGACAAATCCATGTCCGGATACAGGTGTAAGTAGTTGTCCCATGAAGATGAATCTAATGTGTCAATGCCATACGCATCTAGCCCTAAAAGAATCGGTGCATCCACCCCAAGGTTGTCCTGGATGACGCGCATGTCAGGTTCCGACTCGCCCCGGTATTTTGAAAGAAGATCAGAGAGAAAGCGAGAGTACGCCGCTGGTGCGTGCTTGGAGTCGAGAACTACCCGCTCAGATGAGAGCGCGTCGATTAGTTTCCCCACCAGAGAAATGATGCCGTGTCTGGTATCCCGAGAGATGTGATATTCGAAACGCGGTCGAAGTAGCTACGCAAAAGGGTCAAGCCAAGCACAGCGGCAATAGACGCAACTGACATTGACCAGAAATGATGCAGCAAAGGAGATGTGAAGGAAGACGCAGTTCGTCGCGTAACGCAGGAATTCGGTGGGATAGAGATCGTCAAGGACAATTCGAAGGACGTCAAAAGCTGCTTGCAAGGCAGATTCTAGAATCTGCGTCTCGTGCAGCAAATTGGCCTGTCCATCGTCCCTCAACTCCTGCTTGAACACGTGACACAGAACGACCAGTTGCAGATATGCCGCGATCCTAAAATGGGACGTCGAAGTGGATGATGTATAATAAAGCGATGCACTCACATCCGCAGTGTATTGACACGATACCGACAGATGGGGAAATCTGAGACGCTGAATGTCAGTGGGCTTTAGACTAGCAACCTGAGAACGAACCATATCCCGGAAGATTCTCGTACGAGCGAATGAGCCAAGCTCGTGCTTGACTCGCCAGCTCATTCCGGACTTCGAGAGCCAGCTTCACTCTTGCCTCGACAGACCTCTGCTCCTCCACATCCCTTTTCCATCGCGCCATGACAAGCCAGAGGCAGGTGTAGCCGCAGAGATGGATGTCATAGGGCTGATTGTAAGCTGCCGTTCTGTACCATTCCGTCGACGTTCGTCCAATATAGTCATCCACCCCGATCATAGCAATCTTCCCAGATTGCACCGAAAACGAGAGATCGGCGCAAAAACATTTCAGCCACGTCCGCGTGCGATTGAGGCCCTCTAGACTTGCGGGGGAGTCTCCCGGAACATTCAGGCCCAGCTGCAGTGCCATTTTGACGGCAAGCCCAATAAACACCCATGCTCGATCTTCGCTGTAGGTCTTGTGAGGCGTGGGATAAACAGCTACCGAGAACATGATCGGAAGCGGGTTGGATTTTCAAGGGATGGCGTACCGATAATCAGATAAGCCTGGCATATTTCCACACTCGCACAGTCTTCGATTAAAGCCTGAGACGCGGCATCACGGGCAAAGTCATTGGCCTTGGCGTGCAGATTCGGCCGTTCCGTCATATATCGTGCCGCCGTCGCACAGACTGGGAGAGCATGAGAGGTACGTTTGATCGCCGGTTAATGGCACGCACTGGCGGTAAAAAGAAATGGAGACTTCCAAAGCAAGAGATTGGGATCACCATGCAGTTGCGGGTCCAAGATAGAGAAATACGGCTGTGCGAGATGAGCAATCCAAATTCTACAACGTTAATTCTTACATGCACGTGCCGGAAATACCTGACAATAGAAAGGTCAGCAAGTTTCAAGCGGAGAACGGTCACGGTGCAAAACACACAGCTGGAATAGGTATATGATGTCCGGAGGATAGAGATAGCAGCCTGATATGACTGGGGGAATCGGCCTATTCCGGGGAGGAAAGCCTTCGAACGAACGATCAGCACCTGGGTCGTCTCCACTCGCCACAACCTCACCGGACCGAAAGTAGGCGATGGCTGCACGCTCGGGTGATATTTTATCACGTATCGAAGGGGCTGGAAGCGGTTGGTTTCATGATGGCGCGGGCTATCGCACATACTCTTCATAGGATCATCCCCCATCAGCCTCTGCAGGGTCTGTTTTCTTCTGGCCTCATCCATCTGCGCCAGGAGGGCCTGAATCGTTCTATCTTGGACGAGGGCCTTGGCTTGCAAGTCTTCCTGCGTCCTGAAAGTGTGTCACAGAGACGAAGGCCCAATACCTCTTGACCACTCACGGAGCGTCTTTTCGCTTTTTGCGATCGCGAGGAATGCACTCGTGTTTTGCGCTTTCACTAAGTAGGAGGTGGGATATTCATCAGATCTGGAGCTATTGAAATCCAGTCCAGACACCCACCAACGAATACACACTTGGGAATCCGCTAGAAACTGGCACCGAACCTAGAGTCTAATCAGCGCTGGGTCATCGCCGTGATGGATGGTCATGCCTTGAGCAACTTGCAGTGAGTGCACGCTCCGCGCCTATATGATGTTGAGCACGTCGCTGATATATCCCTTGCAAGCTGAAATCAACGCACTTCGTTTCCCGGCTGGTACACATTCCTGGCTCCCCTCGCAGGTTGCGACCCCTGTTTGACCAAGGCAGGAAGAAGATGAGGCTATTATAAGCGAATGGAGATCGACTATGGCCGAGTTACCAGACTCGCACGCGTCGACTCTAGACCGTCGAGGCATGACACGTGAGCGCGGGCCTTCCGAAGAACGACTTGATGAATTCCAGGTCCACGGGTGAACGGCATCGACAAATATCTGGCCAACCAGGATAGCGAGATCCGAACTGTCCTGGCCGGATAGCATCGTCGTCTCAAGAGAAGCAGCATTGCGAGTTTTCCGAGAGTTGACGACTGCCATACCAGAAGGATGGCCTCATCCACGTTGCAGACTCGTCCGTGTTTCACGGAGAAGCACACTGTTGCGAGATCAGAGCACTCGACACATTCATGATTTCGAATGGGCGAGATAAGGCATACAGCTCGGACAGCCGTAGAAAGACAGGTCGCACTCCAGCTGGCGTCTGTCACACTCGGATCCGTCTCCGCGTCTATATTGAGCATCTCGCAAGCAAGTAATTGCAGGAGGGAGGGGTCCGCGTCTGTCACCTTACATTGCGGCGAACTCAGATGAATGGGGTTCTGGAATGCGAATATCGGACAAAGCTCCATGATGAACGATGCCGAGTTCGGGATGACTAACAGGATGCGATACACGGCCTGCTATGCACCTGTATTTGGAACTTGGACATGGTTTGGAAATCTCGAAGCAAGGACACTCGAAAGCACTCGGTTCGCGGGAGGATGAAAGGATACCGCGGTCAGGGCACAGCCTCCCATTGATGTGTCATCTAGTGTGACCATTTCCGACTTCCAAAAGCTCGAACAAGGGTGGTAAATATCGATTGGAGGAGGATACGGAGAAGAAATGGTGTGAAGAGTCCAAATGATAGACATCTATGTGAGAATACGTCTGTGAGTTTGGCTGGTGTCTGGAATGTTGCCTGGAAAACATTCCGCCGCCCCCAATCGGAGAAAGGCAAAACGGAACAGCCCGAGAGTGGAGGCAGCCAATCCGCACGCAAAAGCAACCCGAGCAAGAAGAATCTGCAAGCCCGAGGCAGCCCGAGCGTAAGCGAGAGAGCGAATAGGATGCGGCGGTTGGGAGACCACAAGCAGCTGAGGAGCAAAGCAGACTTGAGGTAGACAGTGATTGAATGAAAAGGAATTCGAGGTAGCCAAAGCGTGATGAGATGCATCTTATCTAATCTAATCTAAATTGACTACAACTGGGCTCCTACTGGCGGACGCCCATCTCTTGTTTTCATTCGTACACTGAGCTCTTCCGAAGCATGATATCTCATATCTAGAATGTCAGATCGTAAGAGGACATATTCCTTCAGTCTGTCCAATGACGAGCTGTCTATTACTTCATGTTGTACCGCGTGCGATTCATCCGAAAGACCCACCGGCAGTCATGTGATCGTGTCTCCTCTGTCTGTCAGTGTCAACAGTCACTCTCCAGTTCTTGTGCTGAGTGCTTACCGCTTGTTTACGTATGCCATCGTATGGTCCTCGTAAACATCAAGCTTCCAGATGTCCTGCATGCGAATCTCTTACCCTAACAAACGAACACCATGTGGGCCCCCTCCCGTTTTCACAAGAGCTTCTGGTCAGCAGACACGCGTTGTCGCGATTGGGCACGGACGGGCTTTCGCGGTGAGGCCCTCGGTGCGATGCACCGCGGACGAGAACTCGAGCCCAGTACCCTTTGGGACGACGCGGGCTTGCGATGCAGTGTGTCCAGGCCCCCCCTTAGTTTGCGGTGAATGGACGCTTCCTTTGCGCGGACAGAACGCCGCTCTAACGCACTATGGCGTAGCATCACCTGCAGCAAACGTGCGCTCGTCAACTTCAGCCCCTTCTCACCTCTAGCACGTATAAAAGCTATGTGAAGAAGCACCGGGAAGCTGCATAGCAGCATGCGTCTCGTCTGGTGGTATTCGGTGGTGGCTTGGGGCGCTGCGCTCGCCGGCGCGACATTCCACCGCAACTTGGTGTACCACTCTCCGTTCGAAGATTATCCGGAGGTAACGGTGCTGGGCCCTGATTTGTCCCACCGGGCCTGATCAACCGCTCTAGCTTTCGCACGACTTTGACCAGCTCACTGCGCGTCAAAGCCAACATGCGCGCCGGCAGATGACCGGCGCCGCGGCGTTCAAAGACAATGAATATCCTACCTTCTACGGCTCGGATTTCAGCAATGTGAGGTAGTTCCTATTTCATGATGTAGGATACTGATGTTGGCCTAGGCCCCCTTCATCTGGACCGGGGGAATCAATTTCACGCATTCAGGTACATGTTCTGAGCTGCTGTTGATTCGGTGTGACTGATCAGGCCGATGATCATATGCAGTCGCCAGCGTATGTTTCCGATCTGTTGTACCGCTAGCCCCCGAAATGACGTTATGTCTATGATAGGGAGATCCATTTGACACGTCCGTGCTCATCTGGACGCGCGCATTTCCTCTAGGCGCGGGGCCAGACCAGAGCGTCCCCGTCTGCGTTTCATACAAAGTCTTCACGTCGTCCGCTCTCTCCGGCAAACCCGTGTCTACCGGCGAGGGGTTCACCACGTGGGATGTCGAGTGCGTGCGGGTTGCAGCCTTTTCATCCGATGGCTGATTATGGACAGTTTCACTCTGAAGTTCGAAGTGACGGACCTGAAGCCCGACAGCGTCTACTTTTACGTCTTTGCCGACTGCACGAACGCAGAGACTGTCAGCCCGACAGGAAGGACACGGACGCTGCCGAGTCCCAACAGTACGTGAATAAGGATGATCGTCGAGTCAATCTCAGCTAAATATGTCTTTTTGTAGCTCCGGCATCGGCCGTGAATGGTGGCAAGCCCTTGACCCTGGCCGTTTTCTCCTGCTCGCAGTTCCAGGCGGGATGGTTTAATGCCTATGGCTACGCTGCACACAACACGAGCGCGGAGATATTCGTCCATCTAGGGGACTACGTGAGTTCTGTGCGCTGCACCGAGTCAATCATGCTTACATATCCACAGATCTACGAATCTCTGGGAAACGGCGCACACATCGGCCGTCAAGTGCAAGTCGCTCGCGCTTGGCAGTGGATCCTCCTTGTGCTCATCATCCGCTGACAGTCTCGGCCGCGAACTGGCTACGATCCACGACTACCGCCAGCGCCTGGGGCAGTACCGCACCGATGCCAGCCTCCTCGCCGCGCACCAGAACGCGCCGTGGATCACCGTGTGGGACGACCACGAGGTCGCGGACAACTCGTGGAAAGCCGGCACCACGGACTCGAACGACACCGCGGCGGGCTGTTCGTTCTCGCCGTCCGGCGCATGCTTCACGGACCGCAAACTGGCGGCGGTGCGCGCGTACCACGAGTGGCTGCCCGTGCGCCAGGTGTCTACGTTTGACAAGCTCAGGATCTGGCGCAACTTCCAGATCGGCAAGCTCCTCGACCTGACGATGCTGGATACTCGCCAATACGATCGGGATGTGACTGATGTGTGTATCGCCCCTTCTGAGCGTCAGAATGTCGAGGCTGATCTGTCATTTCGACGCAGGTGAACTACAACCACGGTGAAGCGAGATCGGTGCTGTCTATCGCGTAAAGCTCATCCATCCATCCATCCATCCAGATCTGGTCGTGGCTTTGTCGACAGTCCAGAACCGATCGTTGATGGGTCCTGCGCAGGAGAAATGTGCGTCTGGCCTGAACTCGGACCGCATCCTCTTACGAAACCAGGGTTCTTTCATACATTGAGTGAATCCCAAACCCGGGGCGCTGTCTGGCGCATTGTAGGGTACGCCTCAACCCATCTCACCTGCTCGCTCGACTGGCTGATGCTCGGAACAGTCAGCAGATAGTCTTCAGCCAGCTGGATTATCCCACGTTTGGTCGTGAGTGCGCTTGCTTTTCTGTGCTTGGCGGTCGACTGAATGCCATCCAGTCGATGTGGTAAGCACAGCACCGCAGTTGGCCTTCAGTGCACGACACAGACGAATCGAATTAGGACGCATGGGACGGATACAAAGCCAATCGCGAACGCGTGCTCCAGTACCTGGAGCGTCACAAAATCAGCAACACAGTCATCCTCTCAGGGGACAGCCATGCGAACTGGGTCTCGGAACTGGCTCGTAGGTAATCCTGCGATCAAATCTGGCGTAATCTCACTCGTTTGTTCGCGCGCGCAGATCCCAACGACACAGCCACGTACGACGCGAAGACGGGCAAAGGCGCGTTGGGCGTCGAATTCGCCGGGACAGCGGTCACCTCGGGGTCGCCGTTTGGCGCGAACGTGCAGCCGGCAGTCGCCAATGCGTTCAGCCAGCAGATCCTCGCGGACCCGCTCAACGGAGACTTGCAGTGGACGGAAGGCAGTTTCCGAGGATTCTTCACGCTGACGATCGATCCACGCGAGCTGAATGCGACTTATTACGCGATGAACAACATCTCCTTCGCGAATCTGGACGGCTTCGCGAGTGCCGTTTTTACGGTCAAGGCCGGGGAGAACAAGTTGACCCGGCCCATTGCAGGGGGAAAAGTGCTCGCTGGAGTATTGCGTACTTGATTACAGTACATTCACAAAACACCATTGCGTCAGCTGGACGGAATAGGAATCACACACGTTCAAAAGAGCTATGATACAAGATGCGATTGAAAATATCTAACAGTGAGTGCGTACAGAATTGCGTATTGTCAAGATGCGTCCAGAACCACCGTTTAGTCGACCTCCTCGACACTCGGGCCGTCTTCCGAGGCACCGCCGGGGAAGCCGCCCGGAGCTCCACCACCAGGGAAGCCGCCTCCGGGGAAGCCCTCGGCACCGCCCGGAGCACCGGCCGCGCCGTACAGCTTCTGCATGATGGGGTTGGCGATCGCCTCGAGCTCCTTCTGCTTCTCCTCGTACTCCTCCTTCGAGCCCTCCTGCGACGCATCCAGCCACTTGATCGTCTCGTTCACGGCGTTCTCCAGCTTGCTCTTGTCCGCAGCCTCGAACTTGTCCGCCAGCTTCTCGTCCGTGAGCGAGTTGCGCAGGTTGTACGCGTACGACTCCAGTCCGTTCTTTGCAGTGATGCGGGATGCAGCGGCCTCGTCCTCGGCTGAACATAGACATTAGTAATCGACTTCACCATCATAAAAAACCAATGCAACTCACCCTTGTATTTCTCGGCCTCGTTGACCATGCGATCAATCTCCTCCTTCGACAGACGTCCCTTGTCGTTCGTGATCGTGATGCGGCTCGACTTGCCGGTCGTCTTGTCGGCGGCAGACACATTCAGGATACCGTTGGCATCAATGTCGAACGTGACCTCGATCTGGGGAACACCACGCGGCGCAGGGGGAATGCCGGACAGCTCGAACTTGCCGAGCAGGTTGTTGTCCTTCGTGCGCGCACGCTCACCCTCGAACACCTGGATCAGCACACCAGGCTGGTTGTCCGCGTATGTCGAGAACGTCTCCGACTTCTTCGTCGGCACCGTCGTGTTACGCTTGATCAGCGCAGTCATGACACCACCGGCGGTCTCGATACCGAGGGAAAGCGGCGCAACATCGAGCAGGAGCAGGTCCTGAGTCTTCTCGGAAGTGTCTCCAGAAAGAATCGCGGCCTGGACGGCAGCACCGTACGCAACGGCCTCATCGGGGTTGATGCTCTTGTTGGGCTCCTTGCCGTTGAAGAAGTCCGACACGAGCTTCACGATACGGGGGATACGGGTAGAGCCACCAACAAGGACGATCTCGTGGACGTTCGCCTTGTCGATCTTGGAGTCGCGGAGGACCTTCTCGACCGGCTCCAGCGTGGAGCGGAAGAGATCCTGGCACAGCTCCTCGAAACGGGCACGGGTGAGCGAGGTGTAGAAGTCGATACCCTCGTATAGGGAGTCGATCTCGATGGAGGTCTGAGCAGCAGACGACAGAGTACGCTTGGCACGTTCGCAAGCAGTACGCAGACGACGCAGAGCACGCAGGTTGGAAGACAGATCTAGGCGCAAGTCGGCATCAAATAGGCGATCAGACAAACATATGACGTACCCTTCTTGTTCTTGCGCTTGAACTCCTGTGCGAAGTGGTTGACGAGACGGTTGTCAAAGTCCTCACCACCCAAGTGGGTGTCACCGGCGGTGGCCTTGACCTCGAAGATACCCTCTTCGATGGTCAGGAGGGACACATCGAAGGTTCCTCCTCCGAGATCGAAGATGAGGACGTTGCGCTCGCCGGTCACCTTCTTGTCGAGACCGTAGGCGATGGCAGCCGCGGTGGGCTCGTTGATGATACGGAGAACGTTCATTCCGGAGATAGTACCAGCGTCCTTGGTGGCTTGACGCTGCGAGTCGTTGAAGTAGGCGGGGACAGTGACGACGGCGTTGTTGATCGTGCCACCCAGGTACGACTCAGCGGTCTCCTTCATCTTCAGCAGGACCATGGAGGAGATTTCTTCGGGCGACTGCAGGCATCGTTAGCAATAGAAAAAACCCAAGTCGAACACAACATACGAATTCTTTTTGTTCACCGCGGTACTCCACTCGGATGTAAGGCTTGCCACCCTTGCTGAAGACGGTGAAGGGGAAGTGCTTCATATCGGCCTGGACCTCAGCATCCTCGAACTTGCGTCCGATGAGACGCTTTGCGTCGAAGACCCTATGCATGAAATCAGTACGGCGATCTCGATCGATCATAGCCAGGAGAGGACGAACGTGTTCAATGGGTTCATCGCGACCTGATTTTTCGCGGCATCACCGATGAGACGCTCGCTGTCGGAGAAGGAGACGTAAGAGGGGGTCGTGCGGTTACCCTGGTCGTTGGCGATGATCTCAACACGATCGTTTTGCCAGACACCGACGCAGCTGGTGAAGATCAGTCAAGGTTGCACGAAATAAATAGTCAGACATACGAGTAGGTCGTGCCCAGGTCGATTCCAATAGCTTTTGAGGAAGACATTATGATGAGGGGGGAAGTGGAGTGATGTAAAAACTGAAGTGGACGGCTTCCAGCGGCCCAGGTTATATACAGCTTCCATAGAAGGTGCGCGAAAGGTGTAGAACCTTGAAGAACGTCACGTGATATTTCCTGGCATGCACGAGAATTTTGTAGGGCTGAGTAGAATTTCTACGACAGCCTCTATCATCAGCCTCAGGGGCTTTTGACGACTGTGTGCATCACCAGGTGCTATTTTCTCCCTCCCTCTAGCAGCATTCACTTGATAGAGACTAAACCGACATGCATTGATCTGATGACGTAGTTATCGTCTATGTCTCAAGATGTGACATTTCACTTGTTCGTCATTGCGCATGTCGCCGCACGGATCTGTGCTTGCTCACTTGTTTCTCAAACGGTCTTTCTCGGTATCAAGTACACTGCTAGAAGTATAGAGCCTGCATTTTGCAGAATCACTAAGATCCATCTGCGATATTTCGGATCGTCACTGACAAAACCTGACTCCCGGGGCTCGTACTACATAGGTCTACGCAATAACTCGACGAATGATGCCTACTGTTAGCCGTCCTCGGTCACATTTTCTCTGGGTTGATATGATTTTGATCAGTCTTTTCAGGTAGTTTTCCCGAAATTGGAAAACCAAGCTTCTTCCAGGTATGAAGCAGCAGCCTTTTTCCGATTAGCCTCACGCAGAGTAAAGCCTTGGGATGAGCAACGTGAGGAGTAGTCCTCTCAGTGATGTCTTGTCGAGTTTGTTGATACGCGCCTCGCTCCCGGCATTTGACTGTTCGCATCATTCATCTACTTCGACCACCCACGGCTTGACCACCACTGATTGTTGAGCGGACCTATTATTTGTATTTAATACGGCCCCGACTGGCTCTTCGAGTGACTCAGATTGACTCCCGCTTGTTCGCGCACGACTCATATAAGGCCGGGACAAGATTGACAACAGTGCTTCATAATCCGTCATGCAGACTTTCAACGACATCTCGTACATCAGCGAAGAGTTCGATCGCCTGCGCGCATTCGATCTTGTTCTTCCTCCCAAAGTGGCCGATGGGTCCCCCATGGTCGTATTCGTTCATGGTGGTGCCTGGAAAGCGTAAGCAGTCTCGTTATCCTCGTCTTCCCCCCGGAACAATTGTGTCCAGGGATGATAAAGCGAGTCATCTCTCATTCGCGACGCTGGTCGCACAAATAACGTCCTGCGCCGTACTCGTTCCCAATTACCGTCTCACGCCGAATAAGATGACGCCTGAGAACGAGTTCCGCCATCCCGGGCACTCTGAAGACATTCTCCGATTCCTCGTCTTCATCGCATCCGGTAGTCCATGGCCGCATGTTCCCGGAGCGACATTCGATCCTGCGGGTCGCAAGCTATATCTTATGGGGCATAGTGCAGGAGCCCACATTCTGTCATCGATCTTTCTCGACTCCCAGCTGCCATCGCTGTTGCCCTCTCGATCTGTGCTCGAAGCCACAAAAGGCCTCCTGTTCTCAGAGGGAATATACGACATCGATATGCTACTCGCCAGCTTCCCGTCCTATCGCAGCTGGTTTATCGCCGACGCTTTCGGGGATCGCTCTTCATACGAGAACGTTTCTGCCCTCCGGTTTCCGATGCACAAAGAGAGCGGTTCTTGGAAGTGGCTGCTCGTCCACTCGAAAGGAGACACACTCGTAGATGCGCAGCAGGCGAATGCGATGCACGCCCATCTCTGTGCTTCAATCGGACCTGCTGCGATTGAGGATGTCAAGAAGAATGTCGATCAACTCGACATGGAGCACGACGATGTGCTCAAAAGTGCTTACTTCCTCGAATTGGTGCGAGACTTTGTGATAGGGAGCGAGTAAAATGCACATCCAATGTATTGTATAAAGAGCTGCGTCGACGAGAAGAATAATAAGGCATGGCTGATGGTGTACAGATAGCAAACAGACTTCAGACTAGAAACCGTTGTCCAGGCTGCGGTGGGCCTGCAAATCGTGCATGACTGTCGGATCCACTGCGAACGTTCGTTCAGACATAGATTCCTGATTTGGGAAAGGACCTACCAGGCAGGACAGACTTTCTTCTCACATGGGGCCCATGAGACGGTGCCTCCATCTCCAGCGAGCGCTGCACCAGGGCATTAGTAGACGCAGAAAGTGTCACGGGGCTATACGCACATCCACACCAGGATCAGCCATCGGAACTCGTTCGATGCTGTGTTCATCTAAATTTGCCGACATGTCCTCGATGGACACGGCGTTCAGCTCCATTGAGAGGTCGAGAATGTCGATGTCCTCGGCGGTCGGAGGCGGCGGGCGCTGTATTTCAACATATCCAGCGGGTAATTTGCCTTCCGGGGCATTCTGGATGGCGATTTCCCGCATCTTCTGCCATGCGTTGTACCGCTGGACAGCATGCTCTTGCTCCCTGATGGCTTCTCGTTCAGCAACAACAAGAGCGGTACAGCGGGAAGACGCACTCCATCTTATTCTGTTTGTATTGATGCATTGAATCATCGAACAAGTCCGGATTGATTTCCATGAAGAGTTTGAGAGCGTTGTAAACCATGCCGTGGATGGTTCTGCAGCTGTGTGAGTAAATGCACCTCACATACTGCACGAAGGGACTGACCGATTCCAGTGAGACTTGGAGTTGGTGTACAGAGCAGGGAAAACAATCGGCAGGATGACAGGCAGATTGTCGCTCATGAGATTGACGACATACTCGTTGTTCCAGTACAGCAAAGCACGCTCTGCCACCTGGAAGTGCTGGCTGTTGATGCAGCGAGCAAGCTGCTGGAAGAGCGCCACCTGGATCTTCTGGAATTCGACAGGATCCGTCACATCGAGAACCTCCTCCACCTCATTCAAGAACATGACTTCCTTCGGGGAGTTGACTTTGGGCCAGAACTTGAGCAAGCCCAGCATAACGTCTTCCGCTAGGCCCGGATCTTTCTCCAGGAATTGCACCACACAGTACGCCAGCTGTGGATGATACAGAGAAAGGCTTTTGACCTTGTGTAGCGGAATGAGAACGCGAGTGAGAAAGGTTTTGTGCTCTTCCTTCAAGGGAAGCGCAAAACCATTGATAATGGAACCAAGAATTTCCAGGAGTTCCGCGATGCCGTTGTGTCGTTCCGTTTCGTACACGAAATGGAAGAACACATTGTTTATCGATCGCCGAATGAAAGCGCGCAAGTTCAAGAACTTGCCATATATGCGATGGAGCGTAGTCTTCAGGAAGTCGCGTTCGCGGGGATCTTCCGAGTCGAACAGCTCAAGCAGGCTGAGCACGAAGCCTTGGTCAATGTGACGTTTGGCCAAGTTGGTGTTGAAATCTGGGCTCTCAACGAAGCGCAGGAAGAATTCGTACACGATCTGGAGGTGTGGCCAAGCCAGTTCTAAAACCGGCTCATCTTCTTCCGGATCAAAAGCGTCGCCGGTAGGATTGACCGGTGGGGGTATTGAACGGAAAAGGTTGGCCGAAAACTGGCAAGACAAGTCAGATTAAGGAGACAGTTACATCGATGGAACCGACCATTCCAACGACCTCTGAGTATAAGTTCTCTGTGATGACCCCGCGCTGCGTAGAGACATAGTCAAGCAGTTCATGTAAAGCCTGCGCTTTGACCTGCTTCCCTTGGAGATCTGCGCTAGCATCATTGAAGTCAAAAAGAACGCGGCATTGATGAAGCTTCTTGACGAAAAGTTGCGGTCTCTCGCTCGGGGGAGTCTCTGTGAAATAGTCTAAATTGAATGCTGCCGGACGTGATGTGAAGTATGTACATACCCATAAACGGCGGGAGTCGCTGAATCTCGACCTTTTCTGTCACGACGAATCGGCTGCTACGTTGTTTGCGGGGTGGCTTGCCCACAATGGGGATCGTATCCTTGGCATTGGCGCGTAAACGTGACATGTTCGAGAGGCTGGCGCGAGGCGGCCCTGCGAGATCGTGCGCGCCGCCCGGTCGCTCCGGTGTACTGGGCTGACTGCTGCGGTACGACTGGTCATGAGACGGATCGGCGCTGACGACAACAATGGGTGGCGGGGTTGCTCCATTGGCATCGCTTACATGCCGACGATCTGGTGTCGAGGGGGCGGTCGACTGAGATATTGACGACGAAGAGTTACTGGAGATCTGGCCTGGGACAGGCAGCGGCTTCTGAGTGTTGGGAGGAGGAGGCGGCGGTACTGAAGATGAGGATGTCTTTGATTCCTTTTTGGAGGAACTCGAGTCCCCCGAACTCTTCCTGTTGAGCTGATGAAGGGGATCAGCCACGAGTGTACGAGTAGCCCAGGGACACAAACCAGATTCAGATTTTTTTTCAACCCCTTCATTCCAGTCGCGTCGACGAGCTCAGAAGAGGGTCGGTGGTGATGCGTGACTGTCACAGGTCATGAGGTCAGCCCTGTATCTACTGTTATTCCAGTACTCTCTCAAGCGCTCCAGAGACTTGGACTAGCATTAGATCAGCAATAGCGAAGGTCTACACTATTCGAGGGCTCCCAACTGTGGTCGTTGAGAGGCCGAATTGACTACGAGCAAGCCTTAGCAACCGGTAACCGGAGGTTGTGAAGAGCAGGGTTGACATTTCCCACGCGCTAAACGCTACTCTTCCCTCCTCACCATGGCGGGTAAGTTTTGCTGTGCCCATGGCGAGCCTTCAGCGCTGAATTTTCTGGAATCCAGCCATTTACTCAGTATATACATCTCCAACGCATCCTCCAATACCCAATCACCTCCCCACCCTCATTGTCACCCCTCACGGTGCGATTTATATCTGGTCGTAGATTCCGCGACTCACAACAGAACAGGTCAACCATCCAATATCCTGTATTCATATCTCCATACGAACTTTGTCAGTATCCCCAATCGCCGATTCATTATCACTCATCGTCCTTCAGAACGCAGAGAACTATCTCTTGACCCCCTCCCCTCAAGGCGATCTATGCGTCGCCAAACTATTCCCTCCTCGTCCCAAGGATCCAGTCAAAGGCTCTGCGTCCGATCCTGGTCATTCAGGGACTTCCTCTCGTGTCGTGCGCTGCGAAGCTTCCCGGAACCTGAAATGGTCCATCGCCAACACAGGTGTTATATCTCCCATTTACAAGCTCTCTCTGCCTTCGCCAGACTCGCCGGATCTTCCCTTGTTCCAGGTCTCAAAACCGAATCCCAATGCAGCATTTTGGAGCATGTTCTATTTCGCTTACGCCGGTCACAACATCCCACCCAAGCGGATCGAATTTGGCAAGATCCAGAAGAACCCTCCCGGCCCGAACGGAGGTGGCACACGCATCAGCATCACAGGGAAATCACCGGAGGAAAAGGCCGTATGGCAGACTCTCGGAGAAGGTAACGAGGATTGCGTGGAATGGGTAGTGCTCTGTGCCGCTTTGAACCTCCTCGAGTGCGTTTGTAACACTTCCCGTTGAACCACGCCAGACTCAGTCATTCCCGAATCAGTGACGAAATCATGAAAGCTGCTGACAAGAACCCCGGTGGACCGCCTCCCAGCGCGCCAGTTCCAGTTTCCCTCCGAGACCCTGGCCCATCCTCTGCACCTGGCCCTGGAGCTGCACTTCCGCGTTCGAATAACTCTTTGCGACAGGGTGGACCGCCCAATCAAGGACAGCAGCGACCTCCACCTGGTCCAGGAGGCCCTCCTCCACCTGGATCCATGCAAGGTCCACCGATGCCGGGTCCACCGATGATGGGTGGTGGCCCACCCCCTCAAGGTCCTATGGTCCAAGGTGGGCCCCGCCCTCCTCCCGGGCAATTCCCGCCGCCAGGACAGCGCCCTGGACCTGGACCTGGGGGACCGCCTGGTGGATTCCCTCCTCAGCAGCAACGAGGCCCCCCTGGACCCGGTGGACCACCTATGCCAATGCCAATGCAACGGCCTCAGGGAATGCCTCAAGGAATGCCGCCTCAAGGAATGCCGCAGCAAGGAATGCCGCCGCAGGGTATGCCTCCCCAGGGAATGGCCATGCCCGGCCCAGGACCACGTGGACCGCCTCCCTCGCAAGGTCGGCCGGGGCCGGGGCCGGGGCCGGGACCAGGACAAGGGCCTTATGGACCGCCGCAGCAAGGATATGGGCCGGGACCTGGAGGGCCGCCGCGCCAGGGGACGCCTCAAGGTGGGCCGATGATGAGGCCGCCACCGCAAGGAGGACCACCGCCTCCCAACGGATATCGAGGACCGCCTCCTGGGATGGTGGGTCCACCGCCCGGGCAGATGCAACAAGGCAGAAGATTTTAAAGATAATAGCAGCACCCTTTCCATTGACATTTCTCGTTTCTTTCACGTAACTGGGGACGATTCTGATTCGCATGTTTATTATTTAACGCTATACCCAGCGGTTTTGCTACACCAATTTTTCCAATGCATCCAGGGACAGAGCTGTTCAGGTTTATCAGCGACTGGAAACAGACCTTCGTCGACTTGACTCACATTTCGGCCGCTCAAGGGGAAGCCCCAAAGCTGATGCGGTCGTTAGTTACGACTGAATGCGACGCGGAGGACACTCACCCCGTGCCCAAACGAGTTGAGTCAACGCTCCCAACGCACGCGACACTCCGAAGATGACGGTGTAGTACTGTCGGACGCTCAGCCATCTGCGTCGCCAATCTCGCCATTCAGCTCACCTTGAATTCGGTCAAACCGTAATGGTGGAGCACACATCCCGAAGTTGCGTCTACGTTAGGGTACGGATTCTTGGTCTGCGGGCGAGGTCAATTGGGTTTGGAGACGAAAGGAGGTATTGCCAGACCTTGCCGTGCTCCTTCAACACATTCGGCGCCACTTCATAAGTCTGCAGAAAGCTCAATCGGAAAACAGGCTCTTTCTTGCCATCAGCCGAACCTTCTTCACGAGCTGGATGATCGGGCTGTCCTGCAGATCAGAACGCGATTCACAGAATTCTTGCAGCGCGATGAAGCGTGGGTCGGGGTTCCGCAAAACGCCGTGGCCATAGCTGACAGCCGTCAGCTCGAGCAAAGAAAGAAAGACATGGAAGCGGACCCGGGGACGACCTGTCCGCTGTTGAGCGTCTTCCAGAGGTACTCCTTTATTTGCTCGTGGGACACATCGTTGCCGATCTCGGCCTGCATCAGGAGCTGCCAGCGCAGAACCTCTTGGTTAGCCAAACTACCGAGGAGTTTGAGTACAGCACAGAGCAGCGAAATCGGACATTACCCGTGGAGCGGTCCGGCCAGAGCAAAGAGAGCGGCCGAATACGACAGATAGGGGTCGGATAACGTCGATCCGACCAGATCTAGCAGTCGCCATCAGTCCGTGGGACAGGCGCAGGGCAAAAGAACACACGGGCGGTGTGAGCGGAAGCATTTCCTCCTTCGTGATCGCCGTGCAGCGCAATGTACAGTCGCAGGTACTCAGTCAAATCATGGTTGTCGCCATAGCCCAGGAGCGCGGTGTAGTTGCCGATCAAATCCAAATCTCGGTTTAGTGCGGGCAACGGTGTTCCAGGCTTGTATACGTTGCGATAAATCCGGGCAGCAAGGGCGGGAAGACGAGCAATGAGGTTGATCGAATCTTCGAGAGTGGGCTCCCAGTACTCGGACTTCTTCATTCCCTTTTCGTACGCACTCTGGAAGACGCTGTCGTGGTTCAGAGCCGCCACGCCCATCCCGAGTTGGGTCATGGGGTGCAGAGTCGCTGGGAATCTGCCTGGGGTTGAAACCAAATTTGGAACTTCTGTGCAGCCACTTACGAGTCCACTAGCTTCTCCACAAACTCTGGCAAGTCTCCCTTTGACGCCAATTCAGCAGACAGGGCCCGTGTTTGCTCTTCAGTCGGAACCTCGCCGGTGAGCAGGAGCCAGAGCATACTCTCTGCAATGATTTCCTTGCCACCGGGAGCTGCCGGCAGAACCTTCTGGCAATCAGGGATGCTGAGTCCGTGGAAGCGGATTCCCTTCCAGAAACATGAACGTATGCTCCGGTAAATCTTACGACTGGCGCACCTCGTTGGGATCGAGGACCGACGCGTCCCACAGCATGGCCTTGAGCCCGCGCATACCGCCAATGATATTTTCAACCTTGACTTCGCCAACCACAGTTTGCGAATGTTGCTTTTTCTGACAAAGGTTGGTCGTCCCCTCCCTACCATAGCGGCACCCGGCATACCAGTTTCTTGAGCTGTTCTTGCTTCTTGGGTATCACCTCCCGCAACGTGTCCTTGAGGGACTTGGTAGACGCGAATCTTTTGGATCCATTCAAGGTCCACTGGCGAGACGAAATGCGGGCTCGGAGCATGACGGCTGGGAAGAAGCAAGGTGGAAGACAAGAAACACAGACGGGCGTGTCTGTTCGATGATAATCACGAGCCTACTGTCCAACAAGAAGCCGACCTCCGAGGAAGTAGACCGGAAATATCATGGGGCATGTAGTCATTTATGATCATGGTAGAGTGTGGGGAATGACAGCCGTAGCGATCCGGGCCGGCCCGAACGTTTGTTTGTCTCTGTTGCTCAGCGCCTTCACCTCCGGTCAGTGCGCTGGCCACATCATATAATCAATACAGTGTAGCCTTTCACCTCGACCTTCGGCCATGGCGTCCTCCGTTCTTGCCCCCGTTCTTTACATGATCATAGTCTTTGGAGCCTTCGGCGTCTTCGCATATCGGAGAAACGCGACCGGTTCGTAGTCTGAACTGGGAGTCAATCATCTGTTCTTGACGCGTCTGCAGTCAAGGCCTTACCACCCTACTTTCCTACGCACGCAGAACGGAACACATATGTCACTCTACTCCAGAAAACAGATCCACCTGCCTCCGACCCGTTGCTCAAATCCGCGCTCCTGCGTCGCGCCATGGCCGATGTGCAACGTGTCCTCCGGCTTCGTGAAGACAAGCCTGCGCTGCAGAATCTGCTGCAGAAGGGCTCAATAGGAGATGATCTATGGAACAGTCTCCTTGCTGCAGAGAAGGAACTCGAGGCAGAGATTATGGAGGTCGTGGCGGAGGCGAACACGTTTGCGCAGGGATGGGGCCAGGTCATCTTCCCTACAGCGAACGAGATGATCGCGAACGAGAAAATGCGCGCACTCTATGAGACTTCTGAGGAGGCGAGGCAGGCCCTCGGTATGTCGCCTAATATGGGATAGATAATCGTAGCAGTCATTCACTCGGTGATAGCATTGAAGAATACCTCGCAGCCAACTCCCTTGTCGCTTCCTGTCCCGAGTGGTGCCACCAGTGACACCGAAAGTGTAACTTCACCATCGACACCTTCTGTACGCCTCGCTGCTTGAAATCCGTGCCTGTCTGACTTGTAGCAGAAAAAAAATAAGAAGCGTCGGTGATTTTGCACTTCGTTGTACAGCTTGAATGTTTGTATTTTCCTCGAGAATATTTGATGATACATCTAATCGCAATGAGGAATTGGCTATAAGGGGGAGAAAAGTACAATGTTGACAACAAGTGAAATGAAAGTGAGATGAGCACAAGCTCTGGGCACGACAGATCCAGACACTGGATCTATCGAATCGTCAATCCTGCCCCTCCAGCACCAATTCGAGTTTTTCCAGACTTGTCAGCATGATCCAAGCCGAGAACGTCTTCAGGAGCAAATTGGTGATCATAAATCATGTCCTCTTGGGGGGTGTCAGTGGAGTCTGAGCAGTTAGAGCACGTCCGTGCTTACCGTCCTCAATGTAAGACGGTTGCTTGAATGTCGAGACCTGGATGATAGCAAAGCGATACTTGGCAAATTCCCTGTCTGGAACTCCCAGTCGAGCTTGTAATCTCTTCTTGGTATCCACGAATTTCTCGCCCTTCAGCATCTCATGAGGGGTGGGCTCGGCAAAGATATCGCAAACTTACTCGTTTCACCACAAACTTGAACGGGACACCGTGTGTTCGAGACAACTCTTTCGAGAAATGGAACACGCCTATGACCTTGTCCAAGTCGTCGGCTTCGAGTTCTTCTCGGGGTACCTCCTGCAAAGAAGAGTCGTGTTAGTTGAAAGCAATCCAATGGAGAACCAACTGTCACATACCTCGGCGTACAGCTCCACAGGCTCGGGGATGTTTCCGATCATTTCTGTCCCTGTGAACTCCTTCTGAGTTTTGCCATCCTTGGATATTTCAAACACTCGGATCTTCTGAGTGCCCCCCGCCGTTAGCGTGACGTGCTTGGCAATGTTTTCGGCGAGATCGTTGACCATGCTCGTCTTTGGTAACAGGAATGGATGTGTAGCTTCCTCCTTGTTGTGAATGCCAGTCCAGATGACCTTGAGGCTCCTCTTGGTTTCGAGCTCAACGATGCTGACGTCCAATTTCTCGTACAGAATAACGGTCGTCGTCGGATTGATGTAGTTTGGCGCCATTATCTCGGCGATGCTCTGGTTCAGCGACCGTTTCAAAATGGATTTGGGTACTCCATTCGATGCATGGGTTGTTGTGAATCGCAATTTGATGGGATCATGGCGCAGATACTCGCCCGTCTTGGTCGACATCTGGGACAGATTAGTTGGTCACCTGCTCAGTCACAGGACGTATAACTTACCGTCTCATAATTCTGTTTCTTGCTGAGCACCAGACTGAATTCTGGATGGTCATGATCCACTTCCTCAAACTTGGGTCTGAACACGACCATGACCCTGTTCTGCAGAAAGTCGTAGAATTGGATCGGATTCGAGTATAGGCCTTGGCTTTCGACCCTGTTATGTCGTATGAATCAAGGCTGCAAATGATCATTATGCTCACTCTTTCTCGGACATGTCGACCTGGAAGCAGATGACATCGCCGTCCTGGATCTCGCTCTGAGCAAAGGACAACTTGGGCTTCATCAACTCGATCATGCCCGGCTTGATTTCCTGCACACAAACCAGATGAGCTGGGCAAGCAGCGGATCACGGGGAGCACTCACCTCGTAAAGCTTGAGTGGCGTCCCAGGAGTCCATCGCATCCGTTCGTTGATCACATGTGTCACTTCGGAGACCTTTGCTGATCGGAGCATGTAAACTTTGCCGGCGCCCAACAAGCTCTGCTTCGAGGTATCAAAGTGCTTCAAGAACACCATGATGGATTGCGCAGGTGGGTCCGGCTACAGAAATCAAGACGAGAGCGGGACAGCCGATCGCTCACACGCACCTTCGAAGGGTCGGGGATGATGTCCAGATATAGCCTTAGATCATTCTGCCGGGCCGCCATGTTGTTTCGGATCACTTCGACCGCTAGAGATGTCGGTCAACATCCGAACCACAATCACAGATAACGGGGCACACTCAGTGTCGGCTCGTTCTCAGGGATGGGGGTGTCTGGCCGCACAGTTTTGTTCTGTCGGTTAACTAAAACCCACAACCGGACTTGGTTTTCGGGGTAGCCAAAATGTTGGGCGACTCGGGTTTTGAATGTGCTGTACGTTTCCTGCTTGAGAACACGGAAACTGGGCAATTCTGACGGAGGCCAATTCTTCTCGTCGAACGTGGCCAAATCGAAGCCTTCGTGTCGAGAGAATGTGTCATCAGTGATGACCTGATGGCTCAGAGATGAGAAAGCGTATTGGGTCGTGAAATAGACTATGCACCTTGGCCGTCAGGAACAAATGCTGCTCCTCTCGCTCCCTTTTCTTGGCCTCCATCTGGAGCCTCTCTTCATCCAACCTTCGCTCTACGGATCTCGGTCAACAATGCGAATGGACGAAACTACATTTGACATACTGAGATGAGCAGGCGTGTCCTCTTCAGTGAACGGCGCAAGAATGTCGTCCATGGCAGACTCGCGAATGTAAACCAGCATGTAGGCATTCGTGAATCGCTTCAAGGCCCGGACTTGATTGCGCTGAACGGCAGCCAAACCCTGCGCTTCACCGCCGTAGTTATCTTCTAACACCTCTTTATCAGTCACAGGCGTCACTCGGTCGTCGTCGAATTTGAGCCAGCGCGTTTCACGATCAGGCTTGATCAGCGCGAAGTAATGACCGCCGTGCAAGTCCCCAGAGTGAACGAGAACTCCATGGAGTTTATAGACCCATGGCTGCGATCGGTCGGCACTGGCATCCAAGAATTCTCCCAGGTCGATTTCGAACGGGAACTCGTGGCGGTCGTTCACTTTGACCATTGCGTCTCGTTGCATGTCGTACTCGAAGCGCTTGAGCTGCAGATGCAACACAGGTGGAAATGACTCGAAAATGATTCCTTTCTTCGCATCCTGCAGGCCGAAACCCTCCGCCGCATACTTGTTCTCGCCGTCCAGCATTTCAACAGCAACGTAGTCCTTGAACGACTCGTGGAGGTTCTTCATCCCTTTACGTTGAGCTGAATGTCTGTCATGTTATTGAGTTTGGTATGCAGGTGGCATTGACGCGTGAGATGCACCGTTGAATTCCTCAATCCTCGACGACTCATAGTCCACGTTGACGCACTTGATATAACTCTTCATCTTTCCGACGAAGAGCTTCGCGATGGCGCCTTCAGCTTGAGTCCCCTACAACAGTGCTGAGTTGATAAGGCCATTAGCTGCTTTTGACCAACTCGCCTTCATTTTCGACTCCAATTTGTCTTGCAGAACTCGGTTGAATTCTTGCACATCATGTTGAAGGAAAGAGTCCAGAGATTTCCATCCAAATGATTTGGTCAACTCGGTTGTGCCCACGGGCTGGTCCGAGTTCTGGAGATGATAGAAGACTCGTTGGAGTGCCAGTGCAACACTCTCGGTGGGTGAATCATCTTCGGTGGGTATCTGATATACAGCCTGTATAAAGATGGATAAGAAAAATGAGTCGTGGGTAGTAAGAAACATACCCTTCGAAAGTATCGCGTGCAGTACAGAGATTGCAACAGAGAATTCATATAGCACGTGGCTCCCTGATTCTTCAGCCCAACATGCCCCGTCTCTTTCTTCGAGTCGTAACTGACAAAAATGAGCAAGATGTTGGAACGATTGGTCCGGACTTCACTTCACAAAGTTGTGCCATAGCACGCCTGTAGGATCTTCTAGAACCCGAACATAAACAGTAACGTCCGCGGAGTCATCTTCGATCGTCGCTCGGGAATGGCCCTCCTGCTTGTTGAAAAGTTTGCGCAGTTCGCTGAACCGAGTGAAGCCCCAATCTGATTCTTCGGCGATGAACCGATGCTGCGCATCTGACAAAGGTTCAGTATTGACAGGATCGAAAAGAATGGAAGGAACTGCTGACGGCTAACGGTGTACACAGTGGGATCGTGGATGTTGGAGATCACAAGAGCGAACTGGGCACAAGCATGCCATCCCTCGGGTGATCTCTTGGGCTCGGCGTAGTCAAGATACACGGAGACCGTATCGTTTGGAGGAGCGTTGGAGTTACCGAAGGGGAACAACAATATGCGCCTTCATATATCGGTGTTCAGAGGGCAAAGATGGGAGGATAACCGGACACACCAATTGTGACCGCCGCATTCGAATTCAGGACTCGTCAGTTTCTTTTCCAGCCTATTCCAATTCTTCAAATTCCACGTGAAGACCTGAAAATCTTTGACGTCGAGTCCTAGGTCGGGTATGTGCTTGGCCGCGAACGCTTCATCTGGGAAGCGATGACGACACCAAATTAGGCGTGCACGATAACGGCGAAGGAGTCCGGCTCACGATCTCGGACAGAAACGACCTCTTCAATCTCCATCGAAGGACCACCGTTCGCCTTCTCGTCTAGAACCTCCACCGTAGACTGAGAGGCGCGCAGAATTTCGTCAAGCGGACGCGCACAAATAGGAAAATACACGGACCATTCCCAGAAGTTGAATAGTTGGTGCAATGTAATCGAAGAAGAGCTCGAGTCAGCCTTCCGGGATGATATCTTGGGTGGAGTGCTCGAGTGTTGTGGTCAAATCTCTTGAGTCGTCGGCGTTGTTCTGACTAAGTGGGGATCGTGCTACACAAGCGTCAACAAAACTGCTAGGTACTCAGTTTGTTCTTGTCATCACCTCTCTGCTCTGAAACCGGTGGGGTTTTCGAGATGGACGGACCTTTGAATGAACTGGCGAAACTTGAGCAACTGAGTACTGAAGGATCCGGTGGAAAAGGAAAGACTGTATCGGTGATCGAATCCCTGGACTCACTCCTGGAAACGCTGCGGGCAACAAAGGCAGAACTGGAGCGCGGTTCCGCCTCCCAAACGCTCCCTCTCCAAGTGCTTCAAGCTGTGGAAGCAGGGAAGAAACAGGTCGAAGCTCGCCAGAAGGAAGTGAACGCGTCGATCTCGCGACTGGGGAAGGCTTTGGACAAGGTCTCGGGCCTACCATCAATTCGATATAGCGACGGTGAATGACGACTTCCCAGAAATTCCCCTCCAGCCTTCCGTCATACCCGAATCTCTTCGATTCTGCGACATCAAAGGCTGCCTTGGAACGTACTATTGCTCTGCATCTCCTGAGGACTGGTCAATTCGACACTGCAGCAACTTTTATGGTGGTTCGCTCTCTCTCATTAATTCCCTTCTCGCTGTGATCTGGGAATAGGAATCTAGTGTTGACATTTCAGCGGAGCTGAAAGCCCAATTTATCGACTTGCATGGCATTCTCCAAGCCCTACGAAATCTAGATATTGGACCTGCGCTCAGGTCTGTCATCTACCGGTGAATTTGCATGTCTGATTCTGATGCTGTCAAGCTGGGCGACTAAAAATCAAGCATTTCTTCAGGATCGCGCGTCTCCACTCGAATTCCACCTACACCGGTCTCAATACATCCGACTGATGCTAAGCACGCATCCTCCCAATCCTATACAAGCCATCAACTATGCAAGAGAAGTCATGGGGCCATTCTTTGAAGATAACAAGGAAGAGTTCCAGCGCCTTCTTACTTGTGTTGCCTATCTACCGTTGGCGAAACTCCAAACGTCACCCTACTCAGATCTGGCCTCACCCTCATTACATTTTGATCTGGAGCCCCTTTTTGCCAAGGAGTACTGTGCCAGTCTCGGGATGAGTCGCCAAGTTCCTCTGCGTGTTGTAGGGGACATTGGTGGAGGCGGTGCTCTAGCGAGGATCGAGAAAGGGCGGAAGATTATGCGGGAAAGCAAGAGCGAATGGAGCCAGGTGGATGAGCTCCCGGTCAGTCGCACACACAAGCCCGATATCGATTGGCTCATTCTCTGGCAGATTGAAATCCCTCTATCAGCAGAAAATCGCTATCATTCGATATTTACGTGTCCGGTCTCGAAAGAGCAGTCGTCGGACTCGAATCCTCCGATGATGATGCCTTGCGGCCATGTTGTTTCTCGAGACAGTCTCCAGAAGCTCAGCAAGCCAGTTGGAGGGTGACGTCTGTCAACCCACGTGTTTGCACCTTCACTTACTTGTTGACCAGGTTCGACCCAATTGAGCGACGAGTGAAGTGCCCATATTGTCCTGCCGAGTCAACACAAGGCTCAGCCTTGCGTGTGTATTTTTAATCGGAAGATCGGTGTGATTTGTACTACATACAATCAGTGGCGTGTTAGGGATACAGTTGGAGAGGTTTCGCGTGAAATAGGTGTCGCAAAGAGCAGGGGCATCGCAACGGGTCAGTAAGTCGTAAGTAAGGTAATAAGTAAACGGCGGTGTCTAGGCGGGCCGCCAGTCAGAGTCCAGACCACCCACCCATGGCACCAGCAGTGAGCTGCCCGGACTTCGAGACCGGGGAAGAGAGTCCTGGGGATCGCGTGAGCGGGATCGTGAGCCAAATGCGCTCAGCGGAGGACTGAGTGAGCCCTGCACAGAATCAGAGCGTTGCAGCGCACGTGATCTGGCTGGGAGAGTGTCTGAGAGACCCACAACGGATGAGCCAGACGACAGCGAAAGATTGAGACGGGAGTGGAATGACCCATGCTCAGACGGAGGGCCCTGGGTGTCGTGATACTTGGCTACACGTGACTCTCCAAAGGTGAATCTGTGCCCAGGTCCTGCATTCGACTGGACACCTCCCAGTTGTCTCCACGAGCCATTAGCACCGGGAGGTGCATCATCTAGAGTAGGGTGCACCAGTCGCACACCACCACCGAAAGCGGAAGCGGGAAGAGGGACCACAGTTAAATTGGAACTGCCGAAAGTGCCGAGTTGGTCATGTGATGGGGGTCTGCTGAATCCATGCTCAAACTTGTCCCAGCTGCTGATGCTGCCATGATCTTCCAAACCGGGTGGCCCGTGCGCATAGGCACGCTGCCTCATAGGCGAGTTTCCTGTTGCAGGCGTTGTAGCCATGGTCGTGTGCGACTGCCGTTCTGTCAAAGACGAGGCCGGATCAGATGTGGGATCAGAACTCGAGGACAATGAATGCTGAGACGAGGACGTGAATTCCGCCAATGCAGGGGGCGCTGGTACGTCCAATGGATCCAAGTTCTCAGCGGCAGGCGTCGATGGACTCCGAATGGAACGATCTCGAGAGCTCAGAGTTTCTAGAGCATCGGTGTAGACAGTTCCTCCGCTCTTCGCACTGCCCGTGGTGCCATCAGAGCTCATACCGCTGAGGCCACTTACAGGCCGAGAGGCAGCAGCGGATCCAGCCAACGGCCGGGGAATGACAGCACCACCCAAGAGCGGCAAGACGGACCGACTGCCAAATTCACGCATCTCGTTCTTGGGCACAGTCACCAGTTTAGGTGGTGCGCCAATTGGGGAAGGTGACGACAGCGGCGACAACGAATTGGAGGGGGAGTGACGACCAGCATCGAACAGGAGCAGGCCACCCTCTTCCGCGTCCCTTGTTCGTTCATCTCGATTCCACGAAAAGCGGGGGATCCACGATCGACGGCGTTCCTTGCCTTTGACCCCTGAGTCCGCTTTCGAAATAAGTTAGCCCATTGTCGATAACGACAAGAAGAGACTGACTCAATTCCGCCGTTGCAGCTCTGGGAGAAACAGCCACACGACGGGCAATAACGACTTGCCCAACTTCATCCCCCAGCTCAGGCTCACTGTCCTCCGAGCCCCGGGGCAGAACCTCTTCCTCAGTAAGCACAGCAAGCTGAGAGGGAGACAATATCCGCCGACTAGTAATTGCGTTTGTCTCGGCTGGTACGATCGGTTGAAGCTGACCCGGCGGGGCATCGAACGGGTTCGCGCCATCTTCCTGAGGAGTGAAAGACAACGAAGGATGCGCGAGCACGTCACCGTATCCGGAAATGTTGGTTCCTGAGCTAGTAGAGCTAAAGCCCGTGCCTCGGGAGGAAGCCGAGTTACGGTTCACATCGGTAGGTGGGCTAGGATGAGGGTTGGGTAGAGACGTCAAGAAGGGATCCGCTTCAGTGGCTCCTTGTCCTGGTTCTGTGCGCTGTCTCGGCGAAGTCGGAGACGGAACCATCAGCCAGTCCACATCATACTCGTCCGTGGACCCCGTAGCGGGAGTGACCATTGTAAACCGAGTACGAGGTCGAGGTTTGCGCCGGCGCCGTTGCACAAGCGAGGTGAACTTGTGTTCGTCTTTGTCCTGTCAAAAACATCAACATCAAATGAAGCTATGATGGCTGGAGAACGAGCCTCTTCGCGCCGGAAACGCGCGCATAACCAGATGGCCAACAGAACGATCACCATCAGGCTCAGTATACCGCCAATGATGATTCCGGCCAGTTGTCCATGATTGAGGGAAAGATGCGAGGTAGAGTGTCCATTAGACGGAGAGGCGGAGGTGGAGGATAGTGGTATGATAGTTGAAGTGGAGGATGCGGAGAGTGGGATGCTTGTGGACGGAGCAATTGGAGAAGTCGAAGAAGGTAGCGCTGGGGAAGAAAAGAGAGATGGACTTGAAGGGATAGATGAGGTAATCGTAGATGTAGGCGTCACAGATGTTGATGAAATAGAGGACGTGGTCGGAGTGGTTGCAGGGCGTGTAGTCGCCGTGGTCGTGGGTGCGGGACTGGTCAATCCTCCATACGTCCAATCAGTTCCAAGTGGTATGCTGGGACCGTAATAGGTCAGTGGCAAGTACACCAGAGTCGTCTCTGTGGTTCGTGGCAACGTGATTGTCGTGTAGGAAAGCCATGCGGGGAGTTCCTGAGTTGGTGCGGTCATATTTCAATGCGTGCCTTGGATAGGCGTAGGTTTTTAGTTTCGAAAAATAGCAGCGTAGAGCGAAAAGACAGAGAGTGGCGGAGGAATAGAAGAAAAGGTGTGCGGATAGGTAGATGGGGGATCAGAAAGGGTGGGGCACAGTCTTTACCTGAGCGCGAACCGGCGCGCCTCAAGGCACCACGTGATGTTGATTTGCAGGTGTTTTGCGATTTGCCATCACGGTGAACTGAACTTCACGCCTGTTCGCGTCCCCCTTTTGGAAGGCTAATACGCGAACACTCATGCCCTACTCTTGGTCTTCACCTTTTAATGACCTTTAGACCAACGAGGACCTCACCCGTTTCCAAAATCTCAAGTCTTGCCCATTCATTGCTTGAATCCGGGGATTTGACGCGATCGTCTGCGGTTTCGATTCAGGAGCTCGTTGGTTTAAGCACCTACGATGTCGAACTCATAGACGCCATTGTCGACCGTGCTGGACCAGAATCGAGTACTTTCCCCGCCATATTCGCTGCATACAACGCTATACTGAAGGAATGGGACGTGGATCCGTCGGAGGTCATTTATTATGGGAAACTGCTCAAGCTGGGGACGTTGAAGGGATCCAGTTGGAGTCAGAAATGGCAGGCAGTGAAGGAGCAGCAAGGATATGGGATCAGAGCTGCACGCACGAAGCGGCGAGTTGCCCCAACGCTTCCTCTCCACTCTCCGGTCTCTCCCTTTCCTCGCTCGCTGCAATTGGACGATGATACCACGGCGAGCGAAAGAAGTGAAGCACGCTCTCCAGCTCCGCAATATCATCAGACCAGACGACGGGGCTTCTCACCTACGCCATCCGAACAAACCTCGGTAATCTCAAGCCCGAGTGAGTATCTATCGCGGAGGCACCAACCTGCGCCACTCATGCGGATTCCGGCCGGCAGCGACCAATCCGACACAACGGAAGGCCCCGCTGTTCCATCAACGACTCCGCCCTCATATAGAGCGATCATGCGTGATCCACCTCCTGTTTCGTTGCCGTCCAAACGACCGAGTGCATCTTCTCTTGCTGTGGCACGAGAAAAGCTTGCCCAGGTCAGACAGCGCGGTGGAAGTGTTACGAACGAGGACGATGCCTGGAAGAAAATCAAGATGATCGAGGACGAAAAGCTTGCAGACAGAGTGCGAAACGAGAAGCTGGTCGAAAGGTGTTGGGATGTATGGAAACAAGGTTTTGATTGGATTGCAGTGAGTACTGCGACAGCGTCATTTGTGTCAACGCTAACCAACCCTTAGACCACCAGTGATCAGGTTGCCGATGCTCGGGACAATGTCACATTGCGGCTTTGTATGCATCGATGGAAACTAAGGGCGGCCGAATCCCAGCAACTGCAAGACCGTATTGTCCGTCTTGCAAACCAGCGCGTTTTACAGTCCATCTTCAAAGCATGGAAGGCCAAGGCCAGAGAACGCGCCCAAGCACGTTGGAGGGCCTCTATGCGAGCGAAAATGAAGACCGTCCGAGATAAAAGGGAACACAAGCTTTTGATGAACGCCTTCGGGATCTGGAGTGAACGCTATCGAGCAAGATTGGCTGATCAGCACTACGTTATGACCTTGCTCGTCCGTTTCTATTCTCGCTGGAGGCACCGTTTGGGGCATTTAGAACATCTCGACGACTATGCCCAATCATTTCTCAGGACATTGGATAACGGTGTGCTAGAGCGACGATGGTTCTATTGGAAGCATGCCGTCCAGCTTCAAATGGCAGAACACATGGTCGTCCGCAACGTCGCTCTGAGACTCAAAAGTCAAGTCTTGGACATTTGGCGAAGGAGATTGTAGGTGGACGAAAGCTTCGCCCTCGAAGAGTTAATCGGCTCATTTCGGGACAGGGAAAACAACCATGTTGCAGACCTTCAGCACCAGTCTTTTTAAAGAGGCGATCCATTCTTGGATGGAAAAAAGCTCGGCACAGGTTGGAAGTCAGTAATTTTCACCTCGGTCTACCACCCGCGCTAATTTCAGTACCAGTTCATGAACGAGAAGGCCATCATGCATGTATCACTGAAGGACGAGCGGCTATTGAAGGCCAAATATTCACTAATGCGAATTCGATATTTTGGCCGGCGCTTGGAGGTGATTGCTGGACAACGAGGACTGGTCGATGCGTGGAACCTATGGAAAGACCAGTTACAGGCAGCCAAAGCTCGCGAAGGTGAGTAAGCGACCAGGAAAGATAAGGATATCTCTGACATCATCCAGCCATTGCAGTCGCCCATTCTCTCCAAACCAACTCTGTGTTGGCTGTATCTGCGTTGGAAAAATGGAGGAATGTCTACTTGAGCCATCAGAATGCTCAATCCTTCGCTGACCAACGGTACGACTCGGTGGTGCAAGCCAAGCTTCTCTTCGCATGGCGAATCAAACTACGGGAAAAGTACAAGTTGATGCGTCGGGCTCGTGCTTTGTTCAACCACCTGGTGCTCCGATCAGCCTGGGGTCGGATGCGTGAAAGCTTGGCAGAGAAAAGACGTGTCAACAAACTGAAGCTCGTCGAGGCTCGCAAAGTCCAACGTGTCTTCGTAGGTCAGGAATCCTATACTACTGCCAGTTTTCGTGGGGTCTTACTTCTATCTCAGTCTGGCGAGAAATGGCTTGCAGGATGCAGAACATGAGACGGGTGCAGGCGGTGGTTCGACTGGCCATATTGGAGGTAGGATTGCTCTTTCAGACTTGGCAGACGCTGAAACCGAGCAGCGAGCCCTGCGCAAGTGGACCGATCGGACCATAGAAGTGAAAAATCGCGAGTTACAGATCGTCCTCGATCGCAAAAGCACATTACTACAGAGGACCTACAACAAATGGAAGTGGGCGCGCGGTCGACACATTGAGGAGGTCAGCCTTTTAGAAAGTTACAATCTTGTCAAGAGAGAAGGTGGGTTCCTCAGATGGTCGTTGCTCATCTGATTTGACAACATGCATCAGAGGACATTCGTAAAATCTTCCATCGCTGGCTAGCAGCTGCTCGTACAACGCGGCATCGCCGAATCACTCTGGAACGCAGGGAAGCTGAGATGCAGCTGAGCATAGTGGCTGTGGCTTGGGGAAGGTGGCGAGAGCAATTCAAGAATCGACAGCTCCAGCCCATTGTAAGTGTCTCCCACGTTAGGCAATACTGGCCTCACCACAGAACAGGAATATGATGTGATCTTGCAACGCCAGCATAATACACTTTATCATGTGTTCATGCTGTGGCAGTCGAAGGCTCAGGTTTGCTACCTCCATTTTTCCATACCGGCGACGGCATTGACAATCTCAGACTCTGCCTGCTATCCGGTTCAACGCTAGGCGTGTCAAGACAGCACATTGGAAGATATGGCTCCAAGCTTTACCTCGTGCTCTCCAACACAAGGAGGCCAAAGAAATCGACAGGAGAAGAATGCTCAGTACGTGTCCAAGTCATGAAGCTCTATTTCGGTAATAACATCCTTTGCAGCAAAGTCTCTCAGACACTGGAGTGAGGCTTACCGGACCAAAATTGCCCTCAAAGCAGTGGCGTACGTCTGTTTTGAATGCTGATTATCGAAACTAACAAAGCCCCAGGAGAGCAAGATATATGCGGCTTCCTACAGCCATAAAACACGTCCCAGCGCGATCAACTGTCGCTTCTCGACCAACGATCCCTGCGCCCGCCACACGCAGTGTCTTTCCGCGTCGCAGGACCAACACTGAAGATCAAAGTAGTGTGGGGAGCGAGGATGAAGAAAGATTCACCGAGCCCAGTCGCTGGCGTCAGCATTCGCGACCAAGAAGTGTACGTTCAGAGATTAGTTCTCCGAGACGTCCCCAGCCCATACCGGTCACTCGCGCCTCGAGTCCGGCGCGATCCACCTTTGCACCCAGGTCGGTCATCTTCCCCCCGCGACCGTCAAGCTCTACTGCAGGTGATGACGGTCGGGCGCCAACCAGTCTGCTGCACGAACTTCGTCAGCTCCAAATGCGCGGTAAAAGTCCTTCCGAGCGATCACGAACCAGAGAGCCACCATAAGTCTCCACACCACCTCTGCCCCCGCTATTTATCTCTCTATTTATGGCACGTTTGTAATTCTACACCCTTGTACATTATGCTGTCGCATTGCTTTTCATCGAGCTGTCATCTGTGTTCACGAATTTTGATAGTATTGCCACCCAACCCAGTTTGCAATCACGAAATATGCTGTTGTGGGTATCAAGAAGAGAGCGAAGTACTTGTAATGGTCGTCTCTTGCGAGCGAATCAAGTATCTAGAAGTGATGAGCCATGAGTATTGCTTCAGAATGACGTTGGCTACAGGAACACCAGTCAGCGGGAGTAGTCTGCTCAAAAGAATGGCATAGAGGTTGAAGCAGAAGAACACAGTGGATGACAGTAGGATGAGGTGACCCGATTTCATGAGACTTGGTAGGAAACAGAGTTCGTCAAGGATTTGCCCTTGTTTACAAAAGGATCTGGTTACAACTTACCTCAGCCCTCACCATTCAAGCGGCGCCATGTCTACCCATTCTCAGTATCCCGCTGAGCACTCTGAGAAACGCGTCGATGATCTGGATCGCAGTACCGTCACAGATGTGGAGGGGAACGATTCTCAGGCTCCCATTCGTCCCGCGGACTCCTCATCTCTCTACGCGGGTGAGGATTCAGAACCATTTGAGTTGGTTTGCTCCTTCTCGCATGAGGCCACTGCCTGATACAGCTCAGAAGGTCTACAGCCCCTACCCTGTCGCCCAAACTACCCGAAATCTCTGGCGGATTAGAGCTAGACCTGGACTCGATACTGATGCCCTCTAATCCGGAGCCAACTCCAGCGCAAGTCTTCAACCCCAGTGGAGAACTCGCACCACTAACTCTATCTAGGACCGATAAAGTGAAGAAAAGGGCTAGCAACGTTCTAAAGCTATCTCAAGAGAACGAGAAGCTGAAAGCAGAGCTCAAAGTACGTCCTCTACGCTTCTGCATCAGAAGCCATCGGACTTACCCTCCGAAGGCCATGTCCGATCGACTCGAGGCCGCCGAGCGACGTCGGCAGCAACTAGCGAGGAAAGAACAACACGTAGTTGAGCCACCTACGAGCTAGACCATGGCGCGAGAAACAGAACCGGAACCGAATGGATAATGACGACAATTGTATTTCTCCTACCCCTGCGGAATTGTGTACTATATATTGGTATACCCAGAGTGCTCAAGCTGCTTAATTTTGAATGTGCGTATGCATCTGGTCATTATTTTAAGCCCGGACCAAGTATTTGAGATGGCTGATCGGCTATGATCATGACGTATGGTAGATAGTATCTCTCCACGGACTCCGAAACCGACCGGAATCACTTCTTATAAGTACAGTCGTTTCGGCATTCACCACCACCACGACCTCAAACTCGATCATCGATGGCGACCTCGCGTAGACCCTCAGACCGCAGACTTTCGGACAGACGCAACTCCGGGATGTCATCTCGACGTCCCTCCATCGACCCATGGAGACTGGTACCCATGGACAAGTAGCTCGATCCCTCACTCTCTCTCTCATCGTTCTTTCTGATTTCGTCCACAAGAGCAATCCACATCGGTGGATCGGACGATTTCAATGTCCTCTTCGTTGGGGCTGGAAACATCATGTTCGGTCCGCGTGGCTGCCCCGCAAAATTTTCATTTGCTAAGCTCGTCGTGCAGGATCCGATGAGGGCCCTTGGAACCACTCTTTCCGTTTCGAACAGTGTGTACTCTGGGCGAGTCGCCGTATCGTTCCATTCACTAAGCGTCCACAGCAAGCTGGGACGGCGTCTCAAGGTAGTCGCGTTGATCGATCCCGCCATCGAGCGGGCGACTGCCGTCTTGCAGAAGAAATGCGACTCTTTCGTCGTCTCTGCCTACCAAGACACCCGAGTCTTCAAAACCCTCGAGGATTTTGTGAAGGCCATGTCTCCTAAGGATCGGCCTCGTGCGGTTATCGTCGGCAGTCCCCCCATGTTCCGTGGCTCTCTTGTTCCAGGGCGCGACATTGAGATGCAGATTTTGAAACACTTCCCCGGCGTTGCTATGTTCATCGAGAAACCTGTCGCCACCGGTCCACACCACGAGATCGCCGACGCGTACACGATTGCCAAGACCATTCAAGACTCGCAGACCATCTGCTCTGTCGGGTACGAGACCGCGGATTGGCTTGTCGTCGTTCTCATCTTTGAGTAGATATATGCTTCGGTATCTGAAGGCCACCCAGATGATGAAGCAGATCATCGAAGAAAACAATCTGACAGTCATGGCCACGATCGCGCGTTACGCTTGCGCGTACGAAGCGATCGCAAAGCCCGATTGGTGGGACAAGTCAAAGAGGTTGGTCTTGGGCGGTTCTTAATCTTGTTCTCAACGTCTTCTCACAGTGCGGGCCCGATCGTGGAGCAGGGGACTCATTTCTGTGATCTGTCGCGCTACTTTGGAGGAGAAGTGGACATCTCGACCGTTTCTGCGCATTCACTCGAATGGGACGAGAACGCTGGCCACCTGAGCAAGATGACCGTGGATGAGACTAAGATTCCGCCCGAGAATCGGATCCCCCGTGTGACTGCTGCGACTTGGTACGTTCAAGCCTCTTGAGAGATTCGTATGATCCAATCGCAGAGCAGGAAGTACGAAAGCGGGGCCGTGGGAAGCTTCACGCATGTCGTGGCGCTCCAAGGAACGGACTACAGCTGCGAGTTGGAGGTGTACGCCGACGGGTACCAACTGAAGCTGGTGAACCCTTACGTGCAGCCCCTGCTGTATATCCGCAAGCCTGGCGACGACCACGAGCAGATCGTGCGGTTCCCTGATGACGATCCCTTTTTCTCGGAGGTTTCGCACCTCATTGACGTCATCGAAGACATTGAAGAAGATCCTGAAGCAGCCACGATCCTCAGTTCCTACGAAGGTGCTCATGCCAACCGATAAGTCGGTCACAGTCCGTAACTCTTTGCAGATGCAGTCAAGACGTACGAACTCACGTGGACAATCCGTGAGGCCAGCGAGCGCTCGCGCGCCGAACAGCTCGCCAAGCAGAAGGCTGCAGCCAAAGCGGCGTGAAAGAGTCGTGAGACCAGAAACTAACCACTGTATTCAGTCATGCACTGCATTTAAGGGGTAGTAGCCAGGGGGTCTGTAGCCGCAGGTAGCCAGGGGGTCTGGCTATCCCTGGATCTGACATATGGCTACTCTAGGTAGCCATAGATGATTTATTTTTGAGTCCTAATGGTCCCCAAACTCAGGAAGGCGATGTCCAAGCGTTCCCTAATTGTTGCCGGGTTCATCAGAATGATGTGATTGTCATCAACCTCGTGTCCGCTATTGATGTTCAATTGCCGTGCAGAGGTAAACAGGGTCTGGCTATGACAGGTATGTATGAGGTAACAATATATGACATAAGGGTCTAGGCTACACGTCTGCGGCTGTGGCTATCCAGAGTAGCCTAGACCTAACCATATATGGCAAGGGCCCTGATTAAGGGGGGTTAGATGCAGTGATGTACTAGATGTTGTGTGTGATCATCAAGATCAAAGTTGTACGTTGCAGGCATGTGCTGTGATAATGATTCTGCGTCTTTGTTTCCACCCGATAATCATGATTGCCCCTCCTTGTGCTTTCCCTTATTGCTCGATCTCCGGGGTCTGCAGGCCCCGTTTGCCTAGAGCTCTTTTTCAGCTCGATAATTATGCATGTTTCGGATCCCCCGCTCCTTACGCCAATCATTCGCCGTACTCCTCTCCTTCTGTGGGTCCCCTCCTCGTTCTGCCGGGTTTCTCCTCAGATGTACCTCAGCACGTCCTCCCTCCTTTCAAAACCTCGAGGATGTTGCCATCACACCTCGAAGGGAGCTCCGTGGTTCCTACTCGTCGTCTTCTGGGTCTTCCATGGCCTGGCTTTGTGCGTGTCCCACTGTTGACCCGATGCAGATGCTTTCATCAGTTCTAAATTCTCTAGCCTGGCCCCGAGAAGACATATTGACAGGTCTCGATCATCGCCGAGCGTTCCTCCATTACGGACG